ATGCTAAGTTGGCCACAGCTTTTCTTAAAGGAACAATGGTCTTTTAATTTCATAGTTGCAGTCACCATCTGCAGTGATTCTGGAGCCCAAGAAAATAAAGTCTCTCACTGTTTCCATTGTTTCCCCATCTATTTGCCATAAAGGAATGGGACCAGATGCTATGGTCTTCCTTTTATGAATGTTGAGTCTTAAATCAGCTTTTTCACTCTCCTCCTTCACTTTCATCAAGAGGCTCTTCAGTTCCTCTTTGCTTTCTGCCATAAGGGTGGTGTCATTTGCATATCTGAATTATTGACATTTCTCCTGGAAACCTTAACTCCAGTTTGTACTTCATCCAGTCCAGCATTTCACATCATGTACTCTGCATATAAGTTAAATAAGCGAGGTGACAATATACAGCCTTGGCGTACTCCCTTCCTAATTTGGAACCAGTCTGTTGTCCCATGTCCAGTTCTAACTGTTGCTTCTTGACCTGCATACAGATTACTCAGAAGGCAGGTCAGGTGGTCTGGTATTTTCATCTCTTTAAGAATTTCCACAGTTTGCTGTGATCCACACAGTCAAAGGTTTTAAGGTAGTCAATAAAGCAGAAGCAGATGTTTTCTGGAACTCTCTTGCTTTTTCTATGATCCAACAGATGTTGTCAAGTTGATCTCTAGTTCCTCTGCCTTTTCTAAATCTACCTTGAACTGCTGAAAGTTCATGGTTCACATACTGTTGAATCCTGGCTTGGAGAATTTTGAGCATTACTTTGCTAGCTTGTGAAACACATGCAATTATGCGGTAGTTTGAAAGTTTTTGGCACTGCCTCTCTTTGGGATTGAAATGAAAACTGATCTTTTCCAGTCCTGTGGCCACTGCTGAGTCTTCCAAATTTGCTAACATATTGAGTGCAGCATTTTCACAGCATCATCTTTTAGGACTTGAAACANCTTGGAAACAAACAGAGATCATTGTGTCATTTTTGAGCTGGCACCCAAGTACTGCATTTTGGACTCCTTTGTTGACTATGAGGGCTACTCCATTTCTTTGAAGAGATTCCTGCCCACAGTAGTAGATAAAATGGTCATCTGAGTTAAATTCACCCATTCCAGTCCATTTTAGCTCACTGACTCCTAAGATGTCGATGTTCACTCTTGCCATCTCCTGTCATTTAGGGACCTAACATTCCCAGTTCCCATGTGATATCGTTCTTCACAGCACCGGACTTTACTTCCATCACCAGTCACATCCACAACGGAGTGCTATTTTCGCTTTGCCTCAGCCTCTTCATTCTTTCTGGAACTATTTCTCCACCCTTCTCCAGTAGCATATTGGCCATACTGACCTGGGGAGTTCATCTTTCAATGTCATACCTTTTCTGCCTTTTCATACTGTTCACGGGGTTCTCAAGGCAAGAATACCGAAGTGGTTTGCCATTCCCTTCTCCAGGGGCCCACGTTTTGTCAGGACCTTTCACCATGACCTGTCCATCCTGGGTGGCCCTACATGGCATGGCTCATAGTTTTATTGAGTTAGACAAGGCTGTGGTCCAAGTGGTCAGTCATTCTCCGGTCGATGGATGTTCAACAGTTAGTTGCAATTTTGGAGTTCTCACAGGAGAAGACGAGCTCATGTCCATCTACTCTGCCATCTTGTGAATCAGGCTTGCTTTAACTTATACCAAGGATATTTCTAAGACCAGTTTTTGTCTGGAATAATAAAACCCTGCTCTTACCAAGGGCACCTAAAGTGCCTTCTTCAGGAAAGGCAGCGGCAGTGCAGCCTGGCAGGCCCTCTTTTCTGCGTGCATTCAGAGTCACGTGTAGCTCTGTGACCCGATGGGCTGCAGCGCCCCCAGGCTCCTCTGCCCATGGAGTTTCCCAGGCAAGAACACTGGAGTGGGTTGCCATGCCCTTCTCCAGGGGATCTTCTCTGCTTTCCCCAACCTCATCATCATAGGGCCCAATAACTACCCCTCTGCCCTTAGCTACGTGCATATCAAACTCTGCACTCAAAACAGTCCAAGTGAAAAAGGGAGCAATTTCAAAGATCATTTCTTTCATCCTAAAGTTCTCTCATTATCTGACTTTGTGAAAAACTGCTATATGAAAGGGCCAATTAATAACCTACAGCTTTGATAGTTTAAGTGCTATATTAGTCATTTGAAAGAGTTAAAACTCAGGAAAAATATCTAAGAAGTCCAAAAAATAATTCATGACTAAAAACAACTGTTCTATTCATGAAAAGATTGCATTTATTTCTTGAAGAATCTGGATCTGCCTTAAGATGCACAATTGATTTGAAACTGGTCTTCTCCTGCCACCAAGTGTTAGCATACACTTCTAATAAACCAGTTTCTGTCATGTCAAATCACAGAAATACCAATACAAGGTCACTCAGTGTGAAAAATAAACCCAAAATAAAGCACTATAAAAAGCACTGACCTAAACAAATAAGAGTCTAACCACATGAAACAAATATACTCTGAAGAAATGATATAAACAACTTGAATTTTAAATATTTCAGAGACAAAGTAATTTAAAGAAGCTTTTCTGAGGCTTCATTCATTTGATTTTAAAAACTACCATTTTGAAAACATAGTGATAATCAAAGTAGCTTGAAGAACTACTTTCAAGGGAATTCCCTGGCAGTCCAGTGCATAAGTCTCCATTCTTTCACTGCTGAGGGTATGGGTTCCATCCCTGGTCAGGGAAATAAGATCCCGCAAGCTGTACAACCCAGTCAAAAAAAAATACTACTTTTACTGCTCTCTTATGAGATATATTCCACTAGAATTTCATGAAACTAAGAATATGGAAAACTAACATATATATGTAAATACCTCCTGGTGTTAGAAAAATATATAATTGTCAAAAAAAAAAAGAAAAAGTTCTCCCAGAATCTCAGTTAGAAAACTTATTTCTCTAGTTTGGGAACCAGAATACCATACTGTGGCAGAGGAAGTTCCATATCAGGAAATTTGAAGAAGAGTTTCTTTATATGTTTGCAGGGAATAAGAAAAGGCCAGAAGGATATACTAGTAATGGTACCTAAAGGAGAGAAATGATACTGGGAGAAGAGAGTGAGAGATTGGTGATGAGGGGAAAAAATTTATCTTTCACTCTGTAGGTCTGTATGTAGTTAGATTTTTTTCAGTGATCATATATTCATCTAACATTTTTATAATTAAAATAACTTTTAAAATACAAGTACTTGAGATGACACAAACTTCTTAATATGAGTAAAAAAAAAAAATATTCAACATCCCTCTACCCTGCCCCTTTTATTTCATTATCAACCTTAAGTAACATGAATGTTGGTAATACATTCCATTATTGACTTTATCAATGGTCTCACCCATGTAAATGAGTGGACCCAGAATGAAAACCCAGAAGAGAATTAGTGCTGAGAGAAGAAAATAGATTCTGGTTGGGGCTCTGCAACTGAGAACAGTGTAATCTCATTTCAGCTATTTAACTCCTGAGTCTCAGATCCCCTTTCTATAAAGTAAAAGGAGCAGATTCCATGAAATCATCTGTCAAGAAATCACTTAAAATGCATGCAGTCTGAATGTCGAAATACAAACTCTAGAGTTAATTTAAGCATCCCTTTGATAAACATACTTGGATGCTCTCATTTCAAAGTTAACAAAGACAGAAACATTTTGAAATGTGGGTATTACCTTCACCACTGATTTGTCATTCTGGGATTAAGTTTGAAACCACTGGGAAGAGGACAGTCCACGTGAAAGCAAGATAAGAAAGATAACGAGTAAAAGAATAAACTGTCAGTCTACAAGTTTTGTCAGTTTTGATCATTCCTAATTCCAAAATCTATGATTTACACAAATTATTTCTACCTAAATATTCTGGAATGGTATCTAATACAGTTATTATTTAATTTGAGCAGAGGAAAAAAAAAAACATGCAAGATACTGGGGGATAGGGTGATTTTTACAAAAGTTTGTAGTAAACTCGTAACCACAGGATGGCCAACCACCCAAACACATGTTTTACAGGACCAAAAAGACTTTCTGAGCATAGACATTAAATACAAACTGTGTCGAATTTAGAAAAAAGATCTACTTACTAATAAACATGACCTTCATTTATAGAGCTGCAAATCAGTCTGAACTGCAGCAAAGGGTTATGGAGAGCAGGAGCGAATACTAATCTGCATGCCCATCTCCAAAACTCTGGTACCTCAGAGCAGCTCAGCAGATGCCTTAATTCGCATGACAACCTCCCTAGGCTGAAATGGGAGAAACAAGGAAGGAAGCCCTTAGGATTCCAGCAGAACTGCTTGGGACTCCAGATAAAAGTTCAAAGTGCCTCCAGCCTCCGAGGGAGGAGGTGGCAACAGTTTAGGAAGGCAGCAAGTCACCCTGACATAGGGGAAGTCAAAAGACATGTCCCCTGGCTCTGTCACTGCTGACCACTCCCAGGGAGAAGTACTTTCAAGTAGGGAGCTGGGGAGGGCGGCCTTCCTGTTATCCCTCGCTCAGTCCCTGCGACACCTGCTCCACACCCTCAGCAGAGACAACTGCTTAATGAGCAGAGGCTTTGTAGAAACTTCCAAAGAGCAACATAAAAGAGGGGAGGGGGCAGAGCATGTCCCACCTTGAAGAACCCAGCTACAGGGAGCAGTGCCAGTGTACGCAGGCCAGTGGAGGAAGCTTTGAAGGCAGCAGGCTGCAAACAATCAGAAGAAAGGAACGCAGCCAAACCCAACTCTGGCTCCGCCCCCCAAGGCTTTTCAAGGGATGAAGCAAGATGTGGCAACAGATGAAGCAGCAGTAAGTGATGGTCAGAGTGTGCAGCTAACAGCCACGGAGGCAAAGGAGGAGACAGCAGCAATGGCCTCCAGGGGCCCCATGAGCCAACTCAGCATCCTTGGGAGCCGGAACCAAATCCAACTGGAATCCCAGGGGCCACAGTGGCAGGGGTGTCGAAAACCACTACGAATGTCACTCATGCTGCGGGTGGTAAAACAAGGCTGATAATAAAACGTCCACTCACCTTCTTTCGGAGCCACGGTGACTTGGACAATTTCATGAAGGTCAAATGAGGCTTAAAAGTTCTGCTTTCTCCTGCCAAGATACCTTTTTCTTGAAATGTCCTTTTTGCAGCATCTGAAGAAAATAAAAAGTAGAAAAATGCTACTATATGATATCCTATATGAGAAAAGAATCTAAAAAGGAATAAATATATGTATAATTGAATCATGCTGCTAAAACTAATTGATTTACAACAACGTAAATCAACTATACTCCAATAAAATTAAAATGTAAACAAAAAATGCTACTGTGGCTGTCCCTAATCATAAAAATGGCAACTCAAAAAATAAATTATTCTACAACGAAGGTAATAAACTGGCTTAGGATATTATTTTTAAGAGAGGAAAAACTACAATGTGTGTGACGCCAAATACATTATGACGGTTAAATCTGCAATAATGTCAAAGTCTGGCATACAGCAGAAATCAACACAACTTTGTAAAGCAATTACCCTCCAACTAAAGATTTAAAAATGTAAATTGAAAAAAAAAAAAAAACTCTGGGTAAAGCACACTAAAGCAACAAGTGGAAAAGGAAATATTTAATACATAAAATAACTGATGATATGATGCTGATTTCATGCAATATCCCAGTGGCGCCCATATATATATATAAAGGACTAGTTTATCTGTAACTCCTCATATCCAAAACTTCTGCTTCTAACCAAGATAGAATAACAGGAATCTGATTTACCCTCCCATCTGAAACGACTGGCAAAAAAAGGACAAAATATATGAAACAATGGTTTGTAAGACACTGTATACCTGGCAATGAAGGTGAGTGATCCCTTAGAGATGAGAAAAACACAAGGTGAGCCCTTTGATTGACCAGCTTACATCCCTGGGTGTCTAGGCCCCTGTTCAAGGAAGATAAACCCAGATGGAGCCCAGTCATCACACTAGGTTCAGAAAAAAAACCCAAGAGTAGAAAGACCAAGGCATCTGGAGCTCATGGACAGAGTGCCAGAGAAGTGAGGGCTGTAACAGACAGAAAACGCCCGAGATCTGCAAAGCCTCCCCCTAGTGGATTCAGCCGAGAAGTGACCAGCAGGGGTACGAGAGCGAAGGACCTGAAGCTGAAAAACACACTCCAAAGGGTTAGAGGGAACACTGCCAGCTCTCACCCAATACCAGGAATTGTGTCTGTTCCCATCAGCCAGACTGGAAAGCCTCAAGATGCACGGGACAATGGGAAGAATAATTTCCACTGATTTTGCCTCGAAAGGAAAAATGAGCTCTGGCCTAGTACTGCTCTAGTCCCTCCTAACAAATACTAGAAGCAAAACTCAACAGGAAAAACCTGTTTCACAGTAATTTAGTTGTGTCCCAGCACAAGTCCAAGTATAATTATAGAAAGACAAAACCATCCAGCACCCCACAAGTGCCTGGTATCGGACAAACAGGCACGTAACAAACAGGAAAATATGACCCACGAAGAAGAAATAAATCGATGAATCAAAAGCCACTCAGAACTAACACAGATGTTAGAATGAGCAGGTAAGGGCTTCGAAGCAGTTTTTCTAACTGTATTGTTTATGTTTAAAAAGTTGAGACATGCTAGTGATCAAAAAGATCCACATTAAACTTTTAGAGATTAAAAACTGCAAGGTCTGGGAAAACAGATGAGACACCACAGAACAACAACAAAATAGTGAGCTTGGGAGACATAACAATAAAAGCCACCCGAAATAAAACAGAGGAAAAAAGGAAAACAACAACAGCAACAAAAAGAATAGCTCATCAGTGAGACGTGAGGCAACTTAGGTTGCCTAATACGTGTGCAAGTGGAGCTCCCTGGAAAAGAGGGAAGAGAAGGAGAGAAGATACTGGAAGAACTAATGCATGCTGGAGAGCGAGAGCTACCAGAGGCACAAAGGGAGGTAACCTGGGCAGCAACTACTAAAATTTAAGCTGCACAAGCATTTTGACAGCAATTCCAGTATTAGCAGAACACAAAATAAACAAAAGTACCAATGCGTAAGATTCTATATAAAAGATATTTAACATTGCTTGAATTATCACATGCTGAAAACACCTTCAACAATAAAGAAATGGGTGCTACTGGGCCTTCCAGGTGGTACAGTGGTAAAGAATTCCCTGCCAATGCAAGAGACGCAGGAGATGCCAGTTTGATCCCTGGGTCGGGAAGATCCCCTGGAGGGGGCCATGACAACCCACACTCCAGTGTTCCTGCCTGGAGAATCCCATGGACAGAGGAGCCTGGTGGGCTACAGTCCCATGGGTCACAAAGAGTCAGACACAACTGAGTGATGAAGCATGCACGCATGCATACTAAAAACTGCTATAATCAAAAGAATGCATTCAAGTTACATATATTAACCTGAAAAGACATCTGTGGCATCTATTACGGAAAAAAAAAAAAAAGGCAAACTGCATGGTTACTATATCTGAAACATGATTCCATGATTTAAAAGACAGATGAAGAAATAACAAGGATCTACCATATAGCACAGGGAACTATATTCAACATCCTGTGATAAACCATAATGGAAAAGAATATATGTGCATAACTGAATCACTTTGCTATATAGTAGAAATTAATACAACACTTTATATCAACTATACCTCAATAAAACAATTTTTAAATAAAATATTTTAAAAGACAAAGAAAATAAATTCTATATATTTTTATTTTTATTAGCACAGAATAGTATAGAATACTTTAGGATAGAAGTTGAGATTGAATAGAGGTAGGAGAGAATAGTAATGCTTTCTTTATACCTCTTTAATTGTATGAATGATTATAATGAACATGCATTACTTTTGAATAAAAAGTTTAAAAATAATCATGGTAACAAACTGACAATACATGAGCAATATATGATTGCTACATGTGCACAAGCATCATTGTAGACACACAAGCAAGAGGGGAGATCACTTTGCCAGACATGTGAAAAATCCATCCCTTTCACAGACCTTCAGTAAACAACTTAGCATTTGGTCTCTTTATCTTAAAACCAGGGCTAATGCATAAGTCAATTTTAAAAGCAAGACAACTGAAATGTAAGAAACTGATGCTCAAGGTCCCACTCCTTGTGAGCAGTGGAGAAGGAAGTGAAATCCAGGTGCCCTAACTTCTACCCTGGTTATGCTTCAAGCTGGCTGAAACCTCAGCTTGAACCCAGGGGGCAGAGAAGGGCACAGAAGCTGCCTCTACAGCTTCAAGGGGAAGAGGAAGGCAGAGGATTCTGCCATCTCCCAGCACGCCTACACACACTGGTTTCAATCAGAGGTGTTCCCTCGTTCTACACGTTGAGTACCATTCCATGTTTTTTTTTTTTTTAAAGAACTCCAACATATACCAAAAAAAAAAAAATTCTGAAAATCAATGATCAAAAAACTTGCATAGGGTCCCTTCAGTAGAAATAATCCCACCAATAACGTCCATTTTTTAAAAATGGAAACTATAGGACTTTCCTGCTGGCCCAGTGGTTAAGAATCTGCCTGCCAATGCAGCAGATGTGGGTTCCATCTCTGGTCTGGGAAAATCCCACACGCCAAGGAGCAACTAAGCCTGTGCGCCACAACTTCTGAGCCTGCTTGCCTAGAGTCTGTGCTTTGCAACAAGAAGCCATCACAACAAGAAGCCTGCCCACTGCAACTAGAGGAGCTCCCACCCACCCCAACTAGAGAAAGCCCGCACACAGCAATGAAGACCCAGAAGAGCCAAAAGTCATTTTTTTTTTCAAATGGAAACTGATAAAACATAGGACACAGAATAAACCTTTGAATCTCAAAGGAGACCACATTTAATCTAAATATTCAGTGAGAAACGGTCCTTTTTAAGTTCAGCTAAATCTTATCAATGTTAAATATGTCCTAATTTTTCTAACAGTTAAAATCATGAACTTAATGAAAGATGATCTAATGATTCAAGGAAATGTATCCTTAAAAATAAAAGACACACCAGATACTGTTCTGGGTGCTGGGGATACAATGGACAAAATAAACCCTCTGTCCTCATGGAGCATCCATATCTAGATAGATAGATAGATAGAGAGTCACAAACAAACAAACAGACATTATCAGGAATCAATAAGTGATACAAAGAAAAGTAAAGTGATGGGGGTATACAAATTGCTGTGGAAGAAAAGGGGTTTGCTATTTTAGAGAAGGTGGTCTGGAAATCCTGTTCTGAAGGTGAGACATTCAAGAAGGCACCTGGAGGAGAATCATGTGTGTTTCTAGGGCAAAGGAGCTCACAGCAGAAGGAACAGCTTTCAGAGTGAACAGCGGTGAGCAGCCGAAGAGCAGTAAAAAAGGGTAGGTAACTGGAGCAGGGTGGGAGGCGTGGGGAAGAGGTAAGACATAGGTTTAGAGAAGCGGTCAGGGGCCTTACGAAGCATGGTAAATAAGACCTTCAGATTGTATTCTCAGTATGGTAGAAAATTGTGAGTGTTTTAAGCAAGGGAAATTTATTTATGATAGTGAGCCATATTTCATTCTTTAGTCAGCCATATTTCAGCTGGAAAATACATGACTTCCTGATGGAAGAAATTGAGGTTTTGGAGACTCAAAGTGCTCCTCTCTTTCCCTGGGGCTGTATTAATTGAGGGGAAGACAGCCAAATGGGGTGTCAGAGTGTTTAGAGCGGGGAGGCATGTAGCAGGCTTGGGTTTTTTTTTTAACATTTTATTTCTTTATTAGCTGTGCCAGACCTTAGCTGCAGCATGCAGGATAGTCAATCTTTGTTGCAGCACATGGAATCTTTGGTTACAGCATGCAAATTCTTGCCCGTGGCATGCGGGATCTAGTTCCGACCAGGGATGGAAGCCAGGCCTTCTGCATTGAGAGCACAGCGTCTTAGCCACTGGACAACCAGGGAAGTCCCCAGGCTTGGTTTTGGAAGCTAGAGGCTTCCTTGTTCCCATATATAGTTATTTTCTGTAACTATTCTTGGGTACACGAAATTTCACTCTATTGCTCATGAACTCATAAACTCAATGGAGCTGAGGATCCTTTCCACCCTTCCGCTACTCTTGAACACAAAGAGAAAGAATTCCCCAGGCCAAGGCGGAATGGATAAGAATATTCCACCGCCATCCATCGCACGGCGTCATCCTAGCTTCACCGCCACTCTGAGGGCACAGGGAATTCTGGCTTTGCTGCTTCTGCGGACATGGCTCAGAATCAAAGCACAGGTCCCTCCTGCTCTCAGCCTTGTGTGAGTTTGTGGCTTCATTCACAGGATGATGGAGGGACAAGAATTCACACTCTAGTTTGGCCTCTAACTCTCTTCTTCATCCAAAAAAAGGGAATCTTTCCTAGCACTGGGGCAGGAAGAAACACCATTATGCTTAGTTGCTAAAACCTCAAAGTCCTTTCTCTATTTTTTCTGCTGTATTCTCTCTTCTGAACACGTTAACTGCCACTGCTTAGAGGGAGGCGAGGCATAAAAGCTACAGAAGAAGAAACACACAGATAAAAATTCAATAGTTCAAAATACTATTTACTGCATTTTCAGAATTTAGTCTAATATCTACCAAATGCTCCTATGTGCTACCTATGATGTTTTGATCACACTTTGTAAGTTTAGGGCATGTCCTGAAAACCTTCACTGCGACTCACTGCCACCACATGATTTTTCCCGTCTCCTCTATGGTAATAAAAAAAGGTTAAGCAATAGACCATTAAAAGACCAAGAAAACATTAATTCTTAGCTGAAACCAACAGATAACAGTTTTGGCTGAGGTAGGCAGGAAAGGAATTTATATAATAACACTGGGAGGACTAAAGTTCCAGGCTGGAAGGCCAGGAAGCCAAGATGTCCCCCGTTATAGTCCAGAGACACCACAACCTCTCCCAGCTGGCATTACTGAAGCTACGCGTGCATGCATGCACACACGCGCGCGCGTGCACACACACACACACACGCACACACACACGCGCGCACACACGCACACGCGCGCGCACACACACACACGCACACACACACACACACACACACACACACATGAAGGGCGAGAACCCTGCCACCTATCTTCAACGGTGACGACACCACCTATCCCCAGAATGGATTCTGCACAGTCCTTTTTTTGCTCAAGTTGCTAGCTTCTGACTCAAAGTCTGGGCCAAAGCAAGATGATGTAGAACCGAAGAAGCAAATCCTGTGAAAGAAGGTAGGTGACATGACCGATGAGCTGAGGTAGGCAGGAAAGGAATTTATATAATAACACTGGGAGGACTAAAGTTCCAGGCTGGAAGGCCAGGAAGCCAAGATGTCCCCCGTTATAGCCCAGAGACACCACAACCTCTCCCAGCTGGCATTACTGAAGCTACGCGTGCATGCATGCACACGCGCGCGCGCGCGCACACACACACACACACACGCGCGCGCGCGCGCGCACACACACACACACACACACACATGACGGGCGAGAACCCTGCCACCTATCTTCAACAGTGACGACACCACCTATCCCCAGAATGGATTCTGCACAGTCCTTTTTTTGCTGAGGTTGCTAGCTTCTGACTCAAAGTCTGGGCCAAAGCAAGATGATGTAGAACCGAAGAAGCAAATCCTGTGAAAGAAGGTAGGTGACATGACCGATGCAGGAAGAGTCTAGATGCTGGGCAGCCCAAACAAAGACAGCGGTCCAGCAAACACACGCGTTAAAGAAGACTGTATTTATAACAATCACGGGTGTGCCCTGGAGATTCTGACAGTTCAGTTCCAAACCACCACAATAAAGCTAGTATCACAACAGAGTCACACAAATTTGAGGGGACGTATAAAAGTTATATTTACCCAACTTTATTGCTAAAAACAGCTAACCACCACCTGGACCTTCAGGGAGCAGTCATTTCTTTGCTAGTGAAGGGTCTTGCTATGAAGTTGATGGCTGCCGACTGATCAGGGTGGTGGCTGCCGAAGGCTGGGGCGGCTGTGACAATTACTTCAAATAAGAGTGAAATCTTTGTAAAGTAATTAGCCTCCAACTAATAAAAATAAATGAGGGAAAAAAATGAAATCTGCCATATTGATTAACTCTTCCTTTCACTTGAACACTCAGAGGCCACTACAGGATTATTAACTGGCTTAATTTCAACATTTTTCTGTTCAAGGACCAGGGAGGCCTGCAGAGTGAGGGAGAGATGGGGAAACGGCAGGTCAGTGGGGCAGTCAGAACACACATTTATTCAGTTGGCTTATTCACGCCTTATGTGGGTGTAGCTCACCGCACCCCGAAGGTCACTGACCACAGGTTACTGTAACAAATATAATCATGAAAAGTTTGAAATATTGAGAGAATTATCAAAATGTGACATACAGACACTAAGTGAGCAAACGTTAGAAAAGTGTCCCTGATAGACGTGTTCACACAAGGTCACCACCGACTTTCAATTTGTAAAGCAAAGAGAAACAAGGCCAGAGCATGTGAAGCACAATAAAATGAAGAGCAATAAAACGAAGTCTGCCTGGACTGTTATAATTAACTTACCATCTTTTAGTTCCTATAAATTGCTTTTGTTGCTTAGTTACTAAGTCATGTCCGACAGTTTTGCGACCACATAAGACTGTAGCCCGCCAGGCTCCTCTGTCCATGGGATTCTCCAGGCAAGAATACTGGAGTGGGTGGCCATTTCCTCCTCCAGGGGAGCTTCCCACACAGGGATCGAACCCAGTTCTCCCACATTGCAGGTGGATTCTTTACTACTGAGCCACGAGGGAAGCCATCATATAAATCACAAACAGGTATATACTTTCTCAACTACCCCATCACATCACAGGTTTGATCCTCTCTCCTCTGACATATTCTCAACTGTTTAAAACAGAACTAAAAAAATTTTAATAAAACAATAATAAATACTTAAAATTAAAACATTACACTGGATATTATAAAAGTCATTTTTATTGCTCAAAAATAGTCAAACATTGGCAATGTCTTAGGGTTTAATATATTCCATGATGGACAAACTTACTAAACTCCCAAAATTTGACTAAAGAGACTAATGAGATGAGGGCATATTTTCTAACTCTTCAAGTATTTGAAGAATTACCACATAGAAGAACTTCAGATGGCAGATTAGCAACATGTTCAAACCAGCCTTCAAAACAGAAATGGCATGAAGGTGTAAAAGGTAAAATTTATTTGTTCAGTTAGTTACTAAGCAGCTCCCACATTTATCAGATGCATAATGTCCTGAAGACAGCAAGCATGTCCCTACTTTCATGGAGCTTATAGTCTCAGGGGACAGATTTTAGCCCAATAAGGAGAAAGACTTAATGTTAAGACCTATCAAAAAATACAAGAGCTACAAGGAAAAAGTACAAGAAATACAGGGATTTGTTAACAGAAATCAAAACAGTAGGCATTTGTATGGTTCATTAACTCTCTATATTCATTGTTACATATTATTTTATTCATATACCATTATGTTCAATTGATTCTAAAGAAATGAAATTTTCTAAATTATTGGCTTCAGAAACATCAAATTTTGACTCAACAGCTCTCATTATTCACTGGACCTTGATGGGTATCTATTCACAATACTGGCTTAAATAATACTTGTCACAAAGCACATTTCATTTCTACTAATGTGTTTTTTTTCAATACAGTATATTCTCTATGAGGATAGAAATAAGGGGGGGAAAGGCCACCTTCATTTGGCATTTTTGATACTTCTTAGTATTGATTTCATATTCCTAATAGCATAATCTATTGCTTAGCCAGAGTACTGGGTAATAGTTTCAGAAATATTGTTCTTGAGATCAGAAACACTTTTGCTAGTGTTGAAAACCACATGTCATTTTTCATTTATGTTAACTCATGTTCCAGAAGAGAAGTTTATGAATATTTTAAGAAACTGATTCCTCCTAGTACCACGGGAGGAATCAATCCTACAATCACTAAATAGAAAAGCATTATTTAGTGATTTCAATCACTGAATAGAAAAGCACATAGCAAATACATCAGATATCCTTCAAAAGTCAGCAAAAAAGGCTCCCTGAATAATATAATTCACCTCAGCTAAAGAAGCGAATTGTCAGAGGAACAAGTTTTTTTTTTTTTTTTTCATTTATTTTTATTAGTTGGAGGCTAATTACTTCACAACATTTCAGTGGGTTTTGTCATACGAGGAACAACTTTTTAAAGTGTATTTTAAAGACAAGGAGACTATGCTATATAAAGAACAGCAAAATTAATAATAAAGATACATAATCCTAAGTAATACAATCTCATCTTTTTTTTATTTTTTGCATTTATTCAATTCCTTTCCCACTGACATGAAGCAGTGTAACTGGAGTACAGTGAGCAAAAAAGAGAGAACCAGAGTTAAGACAGGAGACTTCAGCCGGAGACCAGAACACCAGGATACCGTGGGCTGAAGCAAGGAGTCTGGGAAGCTGTAATAAACAGCCCTACCTGATTTAAGGCCTCAGAGTAGTTCTGGCAGGTGAAGAGTCAAAGATTTCACTATGCTTATGAACTGCAGGAGTGGAATATTAGAGGCCACTGTCAAAGAAGGCAAGGGATCTCAAGAAAAGCAGTAGTTGTAATGGTAGTAGTGGGGATAATTATTGTTATTTTTTTACTGATGATAATAGCTACCATCTTATTTAACACTGTACATGTGCCTAACACTATACCAAAGCACTTCACATATGCTATATGTCTTAAGAATAGTTACAATTATATTCATTCTACAGATGAGGTAATTAAGTAAGGAATTAGATATATTGCTTAAAGCCACGCAGCTGATCACTGCTGAGGCTGCGTTGGGGAAAAGTTTGGAGGCAGAGGGGCGGGGAGTCAGCTCTGACTGACTCCACAGCTCACTCTGAGCCAGGATGGCTGGATGGCTGTGCTCACGGAGTGGCAGCGAGAGAGGGAACGAGGCCCTCGATGCACAAGAGGAATATTCAGACAACTGCAGAAAGGAGAGGGAGAGGGTAACAAAACCTCGACACCATGAAACACCAATAAGAAAAGGCCTCTGTGTCAGGGCAAAACAGAAAAAGCAAGAGAGAACTAAGAGAAAGTGGGTGACGTCTCTGGGTTCCATGTTGCAAGGCATTTGGTGAAACGAGGAAGCTATGATCTCAGACTGGAGCTGGGCTTCAGCTTAGGCAGGAAGGTGCTTCCACAAGCTCCTTAGGAGTTCCGTTGTTAATTTACAGTGTAACGAGCAAAGTGATTAAGAACAGAGGGTCTGGTGAGAGTGGCAAGATGGCTGAAGGAGGTCAAAAGATGCAAACTTTCACTTCTTAAAAAAGTAAGTGCTGGAGATGTAACATACAGCATAGTGCCTAAGCTAAACAATAGAGTCTTACATATCTGAAGGCTGCTAAAACAGTAAATCTTCTACATTCTCATCACAAGAAAAAAAACTTGTAACTTTGTGTGCTGATGGATGTTAACTATGCTTATTAAGGTGATCATTTTGCAATATATACAAAAATAAAATCATTACACTGAACACCAGAAAAAAATATAATGTTATATATCAATTGTGCTCAATTTTTTAAAAAAGCCTAACAACAACAACAAGCTAAAAAAAAAAAGCCTGACAACAAGTAAATGAAGCAACAGACAAAGGATTAATCTCAAAAATAGACAAGCAACTCCTGCAGCTCAATTCCAGAAAAATAAATGAACCAATCAAAAAATAGGCCAAAGATCTAAACAGACATTTCTCCAAAGAAGACATATAGATGGCTAACAAACATATGAAAAGATGCTCAACATCACTCATCATCAGAGAAATGCAAATCAAAACCACAATGAACAGGTTGGATGCATGAGACAAGTGCTCAGGGCTGGTGCACTGGGAAGACCCAGAGGGATCGGGTGGAGAGGGAGGTGGGAGGGGGGATCGGGATGAGGAACACATGTAAATCGATGGCTGATTCACGTCAATGTATGGCAAAAACCACTACAATATTGTAAAGTAATTAGCCTTCAACTAATAAAAATAAATGAAAAAAATTTTTTTAAAAAAGCCTAACAACATGGGAAAAGTAAAATAAATTATGATGCAACAGAATATTATACAACCAGTAAAAGGAATACTTTTGGACACTATTTCATAACAATGATAATGATAGTGAACATTTCTTAATTGAGCATTTATTCTGTACCAAATATTGTTCCTTATGTGTACTGTATATCACACATACACTATAATAAGTAATAATAACAATTTAAAAACAGAACATGGAATCTGGAGCCAGACTGCTTGGATTTGAGTCCTGGCTTCATCATTTAGCCTCTCTGTGTCTCAGTTTCCCACTGAAAAATGGGGGTAATGACAATCATCCCTGTCTCATAGAGTTAAGATTAAAAGAATTAACATTTGTAAGATGATTAGAATAAAGCCCCACACAAGGTAAATCTATTTAAGTATCTGATTGAAAATCAAGTAAAATAAAAGATATAGGGGATCAGAATATGCCCCCTGGAAATACGCCACTTGGGAATAAGGCATACACTGAGTAGAGACAAAGAGAATCAATAGCTATGGAAAGAAACTTTCCCCAAGCTTCCCTTGTCTGAACAAAAGCAGACACTTGTGAAAAATGAGGACTGCCAAAAATCCCCTCTCGTGGGGAATTCCTACGGCCAAAGTGGACCTGTACAAACAAACCTTACTCCACTGGAGTTCCCACCCCACACGTTTACATCCCCACAGTCTGCCACCCGTGAGAGCTTAGAACCCTTAGACAAGACAAAGGAGGTCTTGTCACTTCTCTACGAATTTATTGTTCTTCTGCTAAGATGCCATTTAAGCCCACATTCTAGCCACCCCACTGAGTTCCTCTTCATTGTGGTTTCTCCCACAGGATGTGTACTGGACACATTAATAAACCTGCTGCTTTTCCCTTGCTAATCTGTTGTCAGTCTAAGTCGACAGGGTCCCTTGGGAAGAAGCTAGGCAGGCATAAAGAAAAACAATCCCCCCCCCCCATGGGACAATAGAAACGGTAAAGAGAGAGATGAAAGGGGAGAATAGGCGGATGTGTGCCTGGGGGCCTGCACAGAGGCTGGGCGTGTGACAGAGGCTCTGACGGTCCTCTAGGAAGCGTGTCTGTGATTCAGACATTCTGGCTGGGGAGAAGAGCTCGTCTTTGCTTAGTTCTAAATGATGTGCAGCTGGGTCTTCTGATGTGTCTGAAGACAGCTTAGCCCCGGCCATTCCACAGGACAGTCAGCAGGGCCACTGGGACGTCCAACTGCCTGTAGTGGTCAGAAGTCCAAGAGCCCCACACCTGGGACAGACTCTCCACAAGAAGCACAGGGCATATACTCTCCATCTTTGGGGGACGTGATAGTCATAGTAAGAGAAAGAGTAATGTTCAAATGAACATCCTAAAAAATTTTCATCTCTCCTTTTATGAGATAAGTGCACTTGGAACTTTTTATCATGCTAACCAAGCACTCTTTTCTCATTTAAAAAAAAGATTTTCAAGAACTACTATAATCCGGGCAGGCTAAACTTTTAGCAATCTCTCAATCTAACATACTTTTTAACAAAATTACATTTCATGAAAAAAAAAAGTGAATGAAATCATCACATATTCATTTCTATGCAAAAAGCTTTCAGTGCAATTTCATCACTGTAAAATGTGCAGAAATGACATATAAATGCATAATTTTCAATACCTTCTTAGCTGTATGAGCTATTATACACTGCTAGAAGAGAAGGTACTGTTTTACTCTGGAAAAACAGGATCATTCAAGGTCAAGGTAGGAAACAGACACACAGCCTTGGATGCCTAAATCTTACCAGCTCCCTCAAGAGGCTAATAACATTAGGCCACTTACACATGATGTGCAAAGATGGCCATGGTCTCTTCAGCCCATGAGCATCGACCAAAAACTTCTACTAGTACTAGTAGCTCATCGAGCCAGACTTTACTAGTTAAAAATGCAAAATAACTTTCTTTAATTCTATATATTAATTCTAAATTACTCTATAATTTTTCAATAATGAGTTCAAATATTAGTATCTAAAATTCAGTCTTTTTTTCATACCAACTGTGTAGTTTAAATTTTAAGAATTTGTTTCCTTTAGCTTAAAAATTGAAAAACTCCATGAAAATTACATAAATCAGACTATTCATGAACTATAATTTTCACTATTTTTCAAGTTAATTTCACTTCATAATATGGACTTCTTTATCAACACTTTAATAATTAAATATATGTTCTTTAAAAATTTTCCTGCTTTATATTAAGTCAAACTAGGTCTGCCTCCATTATGCTGAACAAGTAAGATTTTAATATATTGGTATAAGCATATATTAATATATATACATAGTTTATATCAATTTCTAAGAAATGTATTACCCTGGTCAATAGAATATATTCTTCTGAAAGTTGTAATATATTTGAATAAATAGTTTATAAAATATGCACAAAACAAATATGACGTTATTTTACTGATCCTATTGGACTAAAACAAAACTAATACTGAGGCATTCTTTAAAAAATAAATTTAATGAAGTAAAATACTGACCAAAATTCCACATACTGAACATCTGGACATTATACAAATTAAGGCTGCAACTAAACTGCAATGAAATTTTCTATATACATATTCAAATATTTAGATTCCTTAAACTGCATAAAAGGGGGGGCTTCCCTGATAGCTCAGTTGGTAAAGAATCCGCCTGCAATGCAGGAGACCCCAGTATGATTTCTGGGTCCGGAAGATCCACTGGAGAATGGAAAAGCTACCCACTCCAGTATTCTGGCCTGGAGAACCCCATGGACTATGCTATACAGTCCATGGGGTCACAAGCAGTCAGACACAACTGAGCAACTTTCACTTTCAAACTGCATAAAAAGTATATAATCCAAAGCAACAGCACAGTTTACACAAAAAAAACTAAAAGCAATTGATTATGTGAGGGAGACAGAGTGCTATTCTCCCTCCATTTTCCATTTCTTATAATGTTTTGTTTAAATGTTTAGAAAAGTATACATATTTTTAAGAAACAGTCTCTGGCATCTAGACGGGAATTACAGGGGCAGTGGCCTTTTCTAAAATGACAAGCCAACAGTCTTGGGCTCACAGTCACAACTAAAGTTGGCGAGATTTCACATTCCTCTGCACACAATGGATCTTTCATCAACACTGGAAACTGCTTTTATGAGACTATGTGCTAAGAATGGATGGAATTCTCAAAGTTGCAAGCAACCATTGAATTATTTAAAAGAACAATGAATGAATGACTAATTAGAAATGTTTCTTCAGCTCAGAGATATTTATATTACAAAAAGAAAGACCTGAAGCTAGCATTCTCTCCAGAGCAGTTCAGGAGGAACAGCTAAGTCTGTTCAACGGAAGGCATGGTTCCCAAATGCTTTGCCATCTAAACTGTTGGAGTTGCCTTCTCCTTGGCCAACTGATGATTTTAAGTCCTACTTGACTCATAAATATTGTTTAACTGCTTGCTTGTTTGTCATTTATATATACTTTGCTCCACAAAAGAAAAACTTAACAATGAAATGAAATCTGACCCTCATGCCTCTCTCCTCCCCAAAATGGGTACAATTTTGAATGGGCAACTATAAAACTACATAAAGACAGTATGATATTGAGTTTTTCTAAAAAGTATGTCTCAAAAGATCACATACAATATGATATCCTTTTAAAGTTAAAGCTGATTAAAAATACACATATAATTTGGGAGAATACAAAGAAATAATAAACTCTGACTTCAAGATGATGGTTAGCTTAAATGAAGGAAGGCCAAAGGACAGATGATGAAACGGACAATGTGGTGAGATTACTACCAAGGTTCTCGCTTGTGTTTTAGGTGGTGGATTCCCAGATGAGGTTATTTTAAGACAGATAGATAAATAAAAATAAGCCCAGCATGGAGCAATGATGAGAGAGTGTTATGAATTAAGGATTATTGAACCTGAAATGGGATGACATGAAACGATCTGACATGAGAGAAAAAAATAAAAATTGTTTACAGTAGGTACACGAACACCCAAACTAAGATCTCTGGATCATCTCAAAAAAGCACTCTTCTAGGTTTTATTATTTTCTACTTCTGTTTCCCTAGAAGGCTGACTGCCAAAGAATTGATGCTTTCAAACTATGATGTTGGAGAAGACTCTTGAGAATTCCTTGGACAGAAAGGAAATCAAACCAGTCAATCCTAAAGGAAATCAGTCCTGATTATTCATTGGAAGGACTGATGCTAAAGCTGCAATACTTTGGCCACCTGATGAGAAGAGCTCATTCATTGGAAAAGACCCTGATGCTGGGAAAGACAGAAGGCAGGAGGAGAAGGGGGTGACAGAGGACAAGATGGCTAGATGGCATCACCACTCGATGGACACGAGTTTGAGTGAACTCCAGGAGTTGGTGATGGACAGGCCTGCTGTGATTCATGAGGTCACAAAGAGTTGGACATGACTGAGCAACTGAACTGAACTGAACTGAAGTAGGTANTCCCTTGGACTGCAAGGAGATACAACCAGTCCATCCTAAAGGAGATCAGTCCTGGGTGTTTGTTGGAAGGACTGGTGCTGAAGCGGAAACTCCAATACTCTGGCCACCTCATACAAAGAGTTGACTCATTGGAAAAGACCCTGATGCTGGGAGGGATTGGGGGCAGGAGGAAAAGGGGACGACAGAGGACAAGATGGCTGGATGGCATCACCACTCAATGGACATGAATTTGAGTAAACTCCAGGAGTTGGTGATGGACACGGAGGCCTGGCCTGCTGCGAGTCATGAGGTCGCCAAGAGTCGGACACGACTGAGCGACTGAACTGAACTGAACTGAAGTAGGTACCAACAAACAGCACATAAAAAACCACAGAACAAAACCCAAACTATTCGCAAACAAAAGATGCATTTTCTGGAAAAAATCTGAGAATTCCCCTGGATTAGATATTCAAAATTGCAAAAGGGTGCACCACAATTTCATGAAATGAACATTTCTCTGAATTCCAAAGTCTTCCCTTCAAGCAAAATTTACCAAACAACAACTGAGCTCTTTGTAGATGCTAGAACTTGAAAATACTTTAGCATCTATGATTACTGTGCAGAAATAAACATTTTAAATGCTCCTTTAACTTAGAGTAATGCCGTTTCTCAATGGTCTGTTGCTGGAAAAGATGAACAGAAACAAACAAACTGTTCAAAAAGCCCTCCATACGCAAAAACATTAAAAGGCGGGGACTACTTTACTTGAAACTTTGCCTTGGGGTTAGCATGTCACGAATTACCCTCCTGGAAGCGCTTGGTGAGTTAGTCACAGTCAGTCAATAAGGCCCGAAAACACTCAACGTTTAAGTGAACTTTCACCTTTTGTACCTGATCCTCCAGAAGGCTTTAGGAAAGAGCAGGGAGTCCCATCTGAACACCGGCTGCCAGCGGCCAGCGAACAGGATCCCCGAGCTGTGCGCCCCCATCACCCGCGCGCATCCCGGGAGCAGAGACCCCTTCACACCTTCCGGACCCACCGCTCCCCACGCACACCCGGCGGCCCCTCCCCGTCCCGGATCCGCGCCCGCAGGGATCGGGCCCAGGCAGCGTCCGCAGACACAGAGGCCGCCCGCCGCGGTCGTGGGGCAGCCCCGCCGAGAGGANCTGGAAGTGCTAGCTGAGTTAGTCACAGTCAGTCAGTAAAGCCCAAATGCACTGAACGTGAATGTGAACTTTAACCTTTTGTACCTGATCCTCCTGAAGGCTTTAGGAAAGAGCATGGACTTCCACCTGAACACCCGCTGCCAGCGGCCAGCGAACAGGATCCCTGAGCTGTGTGCCCACACCACCCGCGCACATCCCGGGAGCAGAGACCCCTTCACACCTGCGGACTCACCGCGTCCAACGCACACCCGGCGGCCCAAGTTTCACGCTCCTCGGCGGCATCTCCCCGTCCCGGATCCACGCGCCCGCAGCGACAGGGCCCAGGCTGCGTCTGCAGACCCAAAGGCCGTCCCCTGCGGTCGTGGGGCAGCTCCGCCCAGTGGAGACTCGAGAGGCGCCCGGCAGGGAGGGCTGCGAGCGCACGGGGCGCCCACCACTCCACGACCGCCCTGAGGCCCCGGCCCAGCGTCCTCACCCTGCAGCCTGTGGCTGCGGCTGGAGGCGGCAACCCTGGAGCCAAGGACCGAGTGTGGCTCGAGCTCCTCTGGGCTGGAGGAGTCAGGGGCCTCTGGCTATTGGGCAGGTGGGGGCACGTGGTGAGGGGCTGCGGGTAGAACTGCACTTACTCGTGTCTGCAATGCTCCCCGGTCCGGGGTATTTCACAGTGAGGACCGACCCAGTCTCCAACTTCCCTTCCCTCAGGACCGGTCCTGGGAGCTCAGGCGTCCCTGTGCCTCCACCCTCGCACTTATGACCGCTCATTCCTGCGCACTCTCTCCAGGGCCAGTGGGGGCGGGGAGGGTCGTTTGTCAGCCTCAGGACGCCTGGCTGGAATATCCTTATTTTATATTTCCTTAAAATGTTTGACTTGATATCAGTTTTTTAGCAATTTGTTCATTAATAGTAATAAGATGTCAAATGTGTGAAAAGAAACTTAGACATTTTTCTAGATGTTTCATATTTCTCCATTAGCTTTAAGTTTTTAACTGGTTTCCATACTGGGTCTTACCTCTCTGTCAAACAATATATAATATTTCCAAACAGCTTTAGAAATGTCAACATTTCTCACTGGACCTCCAAATTCACATCCGAAATCCAATCTTTCCTGACTGTATTTATGTTCATCCCAAAAGACACGCTGCTACTGCAGTACCATCTTCACCACGGGCTGAATTCAAGCAAGTGAAACAGAACACCTACTCTGGCTCAGCTTCCATAAATCAGGGAATGAATACCAAGATACTCACTTTAAATATAACTCTATAGCAAAGCAGGCCATCCTAAAGGTCAGGAGTTTTCAGAACCAATGAATTCTACATTTCATTTTTCTTTAAAGAAATATAAAATGATCCAAATTCAGTCCAGTTTTCCCACTATATAAGTAATATAAACCAATACATTTATCCTAATGAGATGTCACTGGTCACAGAGTGAAAATGAGTCACAGTGCCTCTTGGTAAATATCACTGACTTTAAAATTCTTTTAAATAGAATATCTTTTCAAGAACTGCTTATGGAAAGATTTCTTTATAGTACACTGAACGGGTATAGGTGTAGGAAACAGAATTCTGAAACTAGAATTCAGACCCAAAGGTTGTACTCAAAACAAAGACAGGACATCCATCTTTTCAAATCAGTATTTGGACTAACACATTTCTATTTCTTTCTTCTGCACTGTGAAGACACAAAGCGTGCCATCTACCTGAAGAAATTCTTTACATTAAAAAAAAAAAGTTTCTGCACACTCCTTATCTGACCCATTGATCAGTACTTTATATTAAATACCTAAAATATGATACTAGACTTTGAAAAGTAAGGATATAGAACAAGAAGCTGACAATACAGATGTCTAACATATTATACTGTATGGGATGAAAGATAAAATTAAAAGATTAGGGACTCAGAAAACCCTTCACATAATCAGTGTCTTCCAGAAAACCCAATCAGTTTCACTCACTATACAGCTACCCAAAATGAAGCCACACCTTGAATCTCATCATCACTTAAAAGTTGACACTTCAGTCACAAACACTTATTTCCCTGGTTCCCCAAATTAGAAGCAAATCTTCTCGCCTTTGCAATTCCATGAATATTTTATACTTAATGAAACAGACCGCTTTTTTTACATTTTTCTATTACAGTTATTTGGATCCATATGACCCAGTCAACTATAATGTATAATACATGAGCACAAGATCCATTCATGATTCATCTTTATTCCCTCCAAAGCACTTAGGTCAGTATCTTATATGTGGTTGATAAATAATGTTGCCTGAACTGCAAAATACTATCTTGTCTGTATAGCAAACTTCAAATATTTCTTAATTTTTCATTGCAACTTAGTCAAAAATAATTGCTAAGTTGCAAGTATCTGGTCATCATCTTCTAGCAGAGCTATAACTCCCAGTACTATAAAATAGCACAAGGATGTGACTTTAATTTCTTACACACCAAGCAGACTTGCTAACCATTTAATTTTTTACACAAAATTGAAATTTGCAAACACACATTGTAAAACACAGGGCTCAATGACTCAAGAGTGTCACTATGCTCTGGACAGTAACTCTTCAACAAATGATACCACGATTTAGGGCAAGACAATGCTTCCTAGTTCAGGGCTGTTCCATGTACTTACTGCAGGTGGTTTAGTAACACTGACCCTGTGCATAAAATGCCCATGGCATTCCTTAGTGATGACCAAAATCAACCACCCTCCCAAATAATTCTAAAAGTTTCCTAGGGAAGGCAGTCCTACCTCCAGTGAGAGATGTAGACATTATAGTACATTGAGAACATACACCCTCACCCCAACCCAACTGCACAGTACTCAACAGTATTTCTAGCCAGTTAACATGTTCATCAGTAGAGGCCACTGAGTTATATGCTGTTGCTGCTAAGTCGCTTCAGTCGTGTCCAACTCTGTGAGACCCCATAGACGGCAGCCCACCAGGCTCCTCCGTCCCTGGGATTCTCCAGGCAAGAGCACTGGAGTGGGTTGCCATTTCCTTCTCCAATGCATGCATGCATGCTAAGTCGCTTCAGTCGTGTCCAACTCTGTGAGACCCCATAGACGGCAGCCCACCAGGCTCCTCCGTCCCTGGGATTCTCCAGGCAAGAATACTGGAGTGGGTTGCCATTTCCTTCTCCAACTGAGTTACATACAGGAGGCCACCCATACTTGCAGCAGACTCATCTCTTCCACCTCTTTCATGAACTTGTGCCCATCTTCTCCCTCCTGTCTCCATCCCACCCCCTCCCTCAATCACATTCCATGGAACAATAATAAAGCAAACCAACTAGTTCTGGTTTCTCCATTGACTAGCATGCGCTTAATTCCCAGAACTCTCAGCTTCTTCATATGTACAAGAAAGATGACCTATCTATGTGGCCAGACTCACAACACTTGTTAACGAAATAAAATAATACTTGTTTGGGAAATAGAGACTGAGGAGCAGAGACTGAAATATATATACATGCCATGGCCAAGACCAATTTTCGACGATACAGCTAAAACGTAAACTTAGCAATCAATGGTAACTCAGTCTTCTTTGGTTTAAAAAGGCCTCTTTGGGGTACAATTATTCTTTAACTCAAACTTCCTTTCAGGATTGCTTTCCCCTTCCCTCGAGCCTCCTCCTTCCCAGGGAACCCAGCATACTTTTGTATAAAGATTGAAGGTTTTTGGTTTGCTTGCTGTTTGGGTTCTCAGAGATGCGCGATTGAGCGGCCTGGTCTGGTCATCTCCCCAGGGACCCTTCGCTGGTGTCCACGAAAGGTCACGTGTCCCTTCCAGGCACCGCACCGGCAGGGCCTGCTGAGGTAGGAGAGCTCTGCAGGGGCCTCTGATCAGGAAACGTGGATGCCTGGCATTGCCACTGTCCCTCATCCCGCCCCGACTGACCCACCGATTCTCCGTGAACTTCCAGGTCTACCTAGCAGGGAGCAAGGAAACTCCTGGGTTCATCTATTAATATATACCCTGATAGACAAAGGGGAACTGAAGGAACTACCTGAGGTCCCTGTGGTAGAAATCTCCCTCAACGCTAACCTCCTATCTGTGCGGAAGCACATTCTTCTTTGAGGCCCCCCAGGGAAGAAGGAATTCTTCCTCCAGACTGCCTTCGGACTTGAGGCTATACTAAATCAGCTCTCACCCGGGTCTCCAGTCTGGCAGACCGCCTTGTAGGTTTGAAATTTGCCAGCCCCCAGAATCACCTGAGCTAATTCCTACAAATAAAGCTCTACACACAGCTGTGGTGCACACACAGATATATCAGTATATCTAGATAAACAAATGAAGATCCATCCTATTGGTTCTGCTTCCCTGGGGAACCCTGACTCATCCTCCACTCTAACATACAGAGTGCCACCCATTTTCTCTTAGCCTTGCATCTTCTTGTGTCACATTTTCTCTTCTTTTCCTTTAAGAGCATCAGAGTATTTCTTTTTTTTCTTCTGACTAGCAAAGCGAACAGTGAACGTGAGTTAAGTAAAACCTTCTGGTCCTCTCTGGCACTGTATCTGCTCTTGGGTGGAACACATTGGAACAGATGAGAAGACCAGTCCCTAAAAATATGCAGTCCTACTGTTTAAAAGATATCACCACCAGAATCATAATCTGACTACTGACAGAAATTGACTATTTTTTGAGTTACTACTTTATTCTTTTCTCCCTCATATTTCCCCTTTTCCTTGCACCCTCCCTATCCAAGTCATATTCTTCATTCCCTCAGGAGACTATATGTCAGGGTAGAAAACAGAAGTAAGCTGTAACCTGTAATTCTGGCTTTGGCTATCCAAAGAGCTTAAGCTTGAGTTTAATCTAGAGAGCTACACAATGGGTAACAGAACAAGGGGCGCTCATTCCAACAGTGTCCCAGAGAAGTGGAGGATGAGCAAGGTTTCTCCACTGTGGGCTGGAAAACAGCAATCAAAGACTCACACTCAACTTCTGTGGCACAACTCTGGGTTTGGGGGTGCAGAGTATACAGTATTGTAGTAGTGGGGGAGGTGAGACTGAAAACTGTCCACTGATCTAATAAATTACAGTTCTAATAGCTAATAATATTGAGTGCCTACTATGCGCCAGGCCCTATACTAAGAGCGTTTACATGTGTCAGTGCTATGATTTTCTCCATTTACTTAAAGAGTGATTTGCCCAAAATTGAGCAGCTATTAAGACATGATTCCAGAATCTTTACCTGGAATCCTAAACTAAATGGACAGACTCCATAGTGCTTACATAATTAACATGGACAAAATAACTGCATAACCAATGCATCTGATAACAATAACACAGTTCAAAAGTATAGATTAGGGGCAGTTCCCTGGTGGTCCAGTGGTTAAGCTCTGCACTTCCGCTACAGGGTACAAAGGTTCAGTCGCTGGTTGGGGAACTAGGATCCCGCAAGCCATGTGTCACAGAGGGAAAAAAAATACAGATTAGGAAGAATATTGTACAGCTGATTCTGTACATTGGCTTGTTGACTGAACAAATTATAACAAAGAATGCTTCTTTAGAATTTCAATGCCTCTTTGGGTTCTGTTGTGTTTACTCATATTAAAGTAATAACTTGGAAAACAATATTCCAGAAAGACGTAGTACTCACATGTTGACTTCATCTTCATTCAGTAACTGCATCACTAGTAGGGTAATATGAAAGGAACCATCACTGCTCATTGCTCTGGCCAGTCGCTCATCTTGTTGTATTATTGCATTTTGCAGCATCTTAATTCCTTTTGTAATCTAATCACACACAGACAAAACAGACATTAGGTAAGCAATACTTCCTTACAGCGGCATTCAAATTGAGAAGAAAATAAGTAACGACTAAAATGAGAACACGGTCAAGATTTTCAGTCAAATCATGCTTGTCTACCTATTCTTAAATATCCTGGAGGGACAACTCGGAAAGTTTAATGGGATGTATAAATGTTTTAAAAATTACATAATGCTTATCCATCTTAAGAGTATCAAGTCCAACATCCTTCTTTTACAGACTGGGTCCCTGATTGAGTGGAAAAATTCAATGGCTATGTATCTTTTCAGAAACTTATCCTTGGAATATACAGTATGACTCACTATCATTATGATCTTTCCTAAAAATAAAAGTTTTATTCTTGCCACAGAAAGGTCAAATCAGCAGACAACATTCCATTTCTGCTGGCAATAATATTTATTTGTCTCCAAATGAATGTGTCTGAGAATCCATTCTTCATGGCCTTTAAGATTTCTCAGGACAGCAATAATTCAACAGGAATGACCGCTGTCATTTCCCCAGACATTGTGAGGCGGGGCATAACCACGGTGAGAGAGCTGCACAGAATGCTAAACGCGTGTGTTTAAAAAACTGTAGTCTTTATCCAACAAAAATCCTTGGTCCCTCATCAGCTCACCCCTCTCAACCTACTAAGAACAAAGAGGAATGATGGCTTTTCCCTCCTCTATTTCCAGCTAGAGACAATACTGTGTGTGCTAAGTCACGTCAGTCATGTCCGATTCTTTGCAGCACTATAGACTACACACCACCAGGCTCCTCTGTCCACGGGATTCTCCAAGTAAGAATATTGGAGAGGGCTGCCATTCTTTTCTCCAGGGGATCTTCCGGCCCGAGGGATCAAACATGTGTCTCTTACGTCTCCTGCACTGGCAGGCGGGTTCTTTACCACTAGCACCACCTGGGAAGCCCAGAGACAGTATTAGCCAGCTTCTAAATGGAAAATAACTAGAATATAAACTAGCAAACCAAGCAATCCCCAGAGAAAAGAGTGCACATAGAAACCTGGAGGCAGCAGCATGAGAGAGAAAAAGACAAGAGAGGAGACTGGCAATAGCAGCAGAACCCCAAAGAGACAGCAGAGATAAGAAAGAGCTGAATCACGGGCACAGCAGGCTGTTCCCATACAGACAAGCTGTTTCATCCTGAACAATCTCCCCATTATCTGCAGACTGTGACTGGGTGCTGGCCTGGGATCTGACTTCCCACAGATCTTTACAATAAATCCTCTTCACCCAAATAACCTCAGCACTTCTGTATTCCTTGCAACCTGGAGAACAGTATCATGGGAAACAGTGTTTTCCTGGTAGGACAATACGCAATAACACCTAAGATTTCCCAAGGTAAGATGTCACTTCCAAGACACCCAACAAAAGAATACTGATAGCCTGGTAGTTAAAATGCTCCTAACATCATACTACACAAAGGTCTTACAGTCAGGGTTTTCTCTACCTCTACACTGAGCAAATTAATGGTGTCCCCGAGGGCATATTTCTTCCTCTCCATGTCTCACCACAGTTCTTGGTAATACAAATAAACAACGTTGAAACAACAACAGTCCCCTTCTTGTGTGGTCACTAGGTTTCAGGCACTAAAGTAGGCATTTTACATCTATCAGTTCACTAAGCCTCCCACCAATCCTGTGAAGTAGGTATTGGTACTGTCTCCGCTAAAATAAACTGAAACACAGAAAATTTTTTAAAAACTTTTCAAGATCTCATACCACCCACTGCAGTATTCTTGGGCTTTGCTGGTGGCTCAGCTGGTAAAGTATATGCTTGCAGTGCGGGAGATCTGGGTTTGATCCCTGCGTTGGGAAGATCCCCTGCAGAAGGGAGCGGTTACCCACTCCAATATTCTGGCCTGGAGAATTCTATGGACTGTGTAGTCCATGGGATCGCAAAGAGTTGGACATGACTGAGTGACTTTCACTTTCAACAGCCACTTTCAATACCCAAAATAGCAAAGGAACTTGAGAAAAAGATAAATTACAATAGATGAGAAAAGATGAGGAAAATATCTGGAGGAAAAGATCCAGGAGTGAGGAGGAGGAAAATTGGCCAGAGAACTGTGGAAGAAAAGGGACGAGGAATGCGTTTTTGAGAGGAGACAGGAGAGTGGTGACATGAGGGTATTGACTCAAGTCATGAGACACCAAGGGCAAAAAGACACTTAAAGGAGGTTCTGAGGAAGTCTTACTGAACCCTGTGTGACAGAACACATGTGGGTGTGTTAGTCACTCAGTCATGTCTGACTCTTTACAACCCCGTGGACTGCAGCCCACGAAGCTCCTCTGTCCACGGGATTCTCCAGGCAAGAATACTGGAGTCAGTTGCCATTTCCTTCTCCAGGGGATCTTCCTGACCCAAGGATCGAACCTGGGTCTCCTGCATTGAAGGCAGATTCTTTACCATCTGAGCTATAGGGAAATCCCAATATAACACATGGGCTCAAAAATGCCTTTGGTGTAAGCCCACACTACTCTTCAAGGATTTTACAGGTGAACTTTTGAGAGATTTTTCCGGGTGCAGTGAAGTCCTGGACTGGTTTCCAGGAACACTGACGCAGCTGAAGAAGGTCCATGTTCATGTGGGAAGAACCTAGCCCAGTGCTGAGTGCATGCTCTAGAATGTCAGACCTCAGTACAGTATAACTGCATCTTCAAATATTAGCTGGCACAAATGGTAATTCTGGCTTAAATAATCGTGAAAAAGGGTTTAGGATGAGAACTTTTTAATGAAAAGTGAAGCAAATTAGGGGTGCGGACTTGCATCAGAAATCCTAGATTTTAATCGCAGGTCAGCCACAGGTGTAACCCCACAGACATCACCTAGTCTCACTGGGTCTTGGTTTCTTTTCAATTGTAAAGCACTGCCAAAGTTACAGGGATGTGTTAAAGGTTGACACCCAAGCTACAGGACAGCACACAAGCTAAAGGAAAGCACTTCACATTTGCCTAATATAAGGTCTGCAAAACTGCCAATATTATCAAAATCAGGGGTCCTCTACGCCAGGGGACATCTGTCAATGCCTAGAGACACTTTCATGGTCACACCTGGGGTTTGCCATTGCACTTAGCGGGTAGAGTATCTGCATTTTCATAAAAATGTAGTCTTTATTCTAAGCTCAAATACTAATTATATATAAATTCAGGACAATGCTCAAAAATTTCCATCCATTTGTATACTCAGCATTTTAGTACAATGTCCTATTATTTAGTGCAAAAGAGTTATATACCATTCATATCTTTGAATTATCCAGTAGCTTATAAAATTGCAAATTAAAATCCATAAAACTTTTGAAGACTATTTCTCTGAAGCCACACAGTACTTAAAATGCAAAATTAACCTCAACCTATGAAAATTCTAAAAGATAACCTAATCAAGTAATGTATATCTAACTATGCTTTGATGCCTCAGATTAATTTATATATTCCTTGATATCATCTTTAAAAAATTTTAATGCTTTTTATTCCTAATTACATTCTTAAAAGATAAAAAGAAAAAAGGAAACTACTTCAGAGTCTTCTCTGTATGCCATTTTTAAAAGTACCAATGTCATTAAAGGCCAAAGGAAACTAATTTTTATAACCACTGTTTAAATTTCTACAAAGCCATTGAAGCTTATCTGTTATCATAATCCCCAGCCACTGGCAGTATTGAACAATGCACATTTTTTAAGCCTAACATTGCAGAGCCATATTTAAATAGGACACTGAAAGAAACTTTAAAAAATAAAAGCTTATTAAAATCTTAAATATTTCATTCACTGAGTAATTTCTTTGTATTTAGAGAATAAAAACAGACACGCAACTGCTAAACCTCACCATGAAGCCATATTCCACATGCCTAAAAATAAAAGCAATAAGAAATTTCGGTATTTTTTGTTAAGCTTTCTAGTTAATTCAGAGCATAAATGAGCTCAAAGAAAATGCCTTCAAGTCAGTATGTGAGGGAGAGTGGTTATAGTCTAGCACACAGAAGGACAATATCTTTTACCTCATCTTTTGACATTATTTTTGGATTTTTTCCTAAGCTGTTAACATACATCATTCCTAAATTTGCTGCCTCATTAAGGTTTAACAGAATTATCACATCAATTTGCTACCTAACATCTCTTCAAAGATGAATATAGTCATTTTTCTTGCTTGTCCACAGGATGAAAAAAAACTTGAAAATCTGATGATAAAGCGGTAAGCAGAGTAAAAGTAAAAAATCATCTGAAGAGAATTTTCTGTATCTACCAAAGTATTTAACATGCATGTTAAACATCATGTACTTTCACAATTACATTTCCCAGAAAGGAACAGAATGCATAAATCATATTTCATATTTTCATAAGACCAGTAATTTTCACATTAGAAAATGAAATACAGAATTAAATATAACAAATACCTTTTAAAACTCCTAAAGAGTATCATATTTTTCCATTGGTATAGAACAGTCATCTTACCAAAAATTTAATGCATTCTTAATTTCAATTAGCTTCCCTTGCATTTTTCAATGTTGACTTGTATTATTACCTCTTATAAGAAAGTATATAAAACCAATACATGGGCAAATCCACCTAGAACTAATAATTAAGCAATTCTAGCCAGTTAAGAAATATTTAGGATTCACTAAAATACCATTCAACTTCTCTTCATTTTTAATTTTAAATTAATGTGTAATTGTGGGTAATGGAGAAACACATTCTCATATACATGTAATTAGGATATTTTCATGCAGTCATTCTAATTCATTTTCCAAACCTATCTCTTAAAAATATGAAAATCATGACCTTCCAAAACTAAAGCATTCTAAATGTCTACTAATGTGTTTAAAAATCAAAGACCCATGTAAGTCTGAATCCTTTTTCCTTTAAAACTAGATGCCAGCAAGCAGAAGCCAAAAGTAGAGCAGCTCATTGTCAATGTGCTCGCTTCCAAAAGCTTGTTTGCAGGTCACTTAATTGGAACTTGGAATACAGTCTCCCATTGAAACAATGTTATAAATGCCGCTCCTTTTCCCAGGACTCCCCACAAAAGCCCATAGGCAGTTTCAAAAGAAATTAACATTAGATACTTTCAAAGAAACAAAAAAGGTACTCATACAGAAGATATAAAAAAGATCTTCCTCATCTTGTCCTAGTCCCTAATCCTCCTCCCCATATACAGGCATTAAGCTTTGTTACCCACAAATCAGTCACTTGAGAGAGAAACATGAAATTCTTTGGTTTCCAGGTTACTTGAAACTTGTGTACCCCACTATTACAAGTCATGGACCTCCTGGAAAACAAACTATCACTGAACCTATATTACAGAAAACCAGCATGTGTAACACTGTATCTATCATTTGTAAATTTGTTCTGGTTGGAATTTGGCATTCTGGAAACATCTTCTGCCCTGAAATGACAGTATTTTGTGTGTGCGCGCCTCTATTCCTGCCAAACTCTGTTCTAGGTGCTGAGAAGGAGCTGTCAAACTGTGAGGAGGATCAACAAGTGTCAGATTTTAAAGATGACAACAGTGGGGGGAGGGGTGACCTAGTCAGGGTGCTCACGGGTGGGAGAAGTTTAAGCTGAGATTTTGGCATTAACAAAACCAAAAGGAGAGAAAAGAAAACTCCAGCCAGAGAAAGCTTTCCTGCAGGCAGGGGGGGATTGGCAAGTTCAAACAAGGTCAGAGGGGCTGAGGTGGAGAAGGTCAAACCATATAGAACCTTCTAGAATATGGTAAAGCCTTTGTCTTTATCCAAGTATCAAAGATACTGAAGTGCATAAGGATGACAGTGATGTGTCCAAATTTGGGTTTAGAAAATAATCATTATCACCTTCACTTTACACCTCAAGATGCTGAAACTACAAAAATTAGGTAATGTGACCAACATCCACAGTGGCATTTGTGATCCAGCTGCTATCTGAGCAAGGCTGGTCAGGCTCCAAAGCCTGTACTATATCCACTTTCTACAGAACCTGCCAGCAGCAAGGAGGCAGAAACAAAGGCTACAGCGACTTACAGGATAAAAACTAAGGGTTGTAAATGGTCCTCTTTCATCTCCTCCTCCCATCTTTGTGACCTGAGTCCCAATCTAAGCATCAGAAGAAAGGAATCTCTCCATCCTCTCTCCCCTCAATACCCTTCCCCACCGGCCTTATCCTAGCACATCCCCCCAGCAATCTTTACTGGACGAGGTGGGAAGCCAGCCCAGCGCTGGCAGGGGCTGGGGCAGGCTGGAGGGAATGCAGAGCGGCTGCTCAGACCAGGGGAACCAGGAACAGCTATTTAGAGAAGAGCTCACCCAACTTCTACACACAGACTCTGGAGTGGAACAATTTCTAAGCAAGAAACCAAAATAAGGAAACTGGCATCTCTTCCAATCACAAAAAATATGGGGATGTCACTTGGCCTGTTTCACATGCAGTTTCCTCAGGACCTAACCTGCTCTCCTACAATGCCCATAGGTACACAAGATCTTAAATCTTATGGAAAACCTGTCTGAATAAGTTACAAGTATTTTAATGGAATCTATAGTTGTCAAAAACATTAAACTTGCCATCGGCTAAACACTTAAGGGCTATTTTACAGTTAACCTACCACTACATACCAGTAAAGTTAAACTTTGATTCTTTACTGTATTAAATTCTAAAATTCCGTATGGCTAGATAATTCCACTTATCTAAGTATCTTTTCTTCCCAAGTGAACTGTCCCTCACAGACTAGAAGTTTCCTAGAATGCCCCAACAGAATTTGTTCTCTTTTATATTTATTTCTTAGATTTCAATTTTGTTTGCTTTGATATTTAAAAACTCATTAGCATTCTGTAGAAACATTCTAGTTAAATAAAGGGAGAAACAGCCTGAAAATACGCCCAGTTAAGAGATCAGAGTCCATAGTCAAACAGGAATTCAGATCTAGCTCTGAAGACTTTAAACTGGGCCAAGTATAGAAGCAGTCAGTCTTCCAAACGAAGTGTTCTCTCCTAAAGCATTATAATTCCTACCTCACTGCTCTAAAAGGCTTACTACCTACTAGTTTTCTCTCTCAGTCATACGTTAGGGTATCTTACTGTGAGCCAGTGGGCTGGTTTCATTTCCTATTATTGATGCCACATTAAATTTTCAGACTTTTAATAGATTTCTACCAAGTTTATTGTACAGCATTAAGTTGGACAACAATGAGTAATTTTTGAAGACACTATATTGCAATAGTCATTACCATAAACTGGACCAAGCAGCAACAAATCCCAGTTTACTTTCCCCACAGAGATTTCAGAATCTTTTTTTTTTTTACCAGCTCTGTGTTTCTGAAAGATTCTTCCATTATGATGAACAAAACTTTAGAAAGAACCTTGACATGCTATCTGGCAACATTTTTTTTAAGTGGCTTTTGTAAAACTGTCATTTAAATAGGATTGTTTAAATAATATTTTTCAAAATTATTGTTGAAATATATTCTATAGTCCCTGTATTTTATATTCCGTATGTGTGTGTATACTCCATATTTCCTGCCCAGCTAAAATGCCACTGAAGACTCTTAAAAGCTGAAAGTAAAAGGGCTTATGAGCATTTAGTGCACCTTAAATGTAATTTAGAATAAAATCTAGTAAAAATACTTCTTAAAAAAAAAAGCACCTCTTTGTTGGTGATTGGAATGGATAGGAAATAGTTGGGTTGATAATCTTTTCGCTTTTTTTTCCTCTTCTTTATTTGATCTTTATTGTTGCATTCATTTTCTTTACTTCTCTCCAAATTTACTTTAGGAACATCAGTGACTAGAGAAAAAAAGTCAAACAATAATAAGTCTAATGCATTTAAACAAAGATGATATAATCAGTAAAAAAAAAAAAAGTACTATACAACTAGCAATCATTCATAATTGTCATTTTCAAATCTAAAATAGGAATTGGCAAATTCTTCTGTAAAAGACCTCATAATAAATATTTCAAGCCTCACGGATCATACAGTCTTAAAGACCCAAGTCAGCTGTAGACAAAATACAGCTGAATGGGTACAAATGTTTTCCAATAAAACTTTAATTTACAAAGCAGATAGTCAGATCTGGCCCATGGGCCATGGTGCACTTACCTCTGATCTGAAGCATAACTAACAACTGTTCTCTTCTCCTTGCCACAATTTTCATGATGCTAGGAAAAATCATTTTTTCTCCATCCTGTAATATGTATATTCCTAACTTTGACAAGAAAATCACTTGCGGCAGTGCCACTCAAAGTTCAATTTCTGGCTAATGTCACACTACAAACAATTAGCAAAAACTGAGAGGATGCTTTATAAACTTTCAGGGCAAGTAGGCAAAGTAATTTTGCCTGTTAAATTCTGGCTTCTGTTTTGCAGATCTTTTTCTTTAATTTTTTTTCTAATATTTAATGTTTTATTATGTATTTTACAAAAGTATCAGCCAGCAACAAATAAGAGACTAAAGAAAAAAAAAATAGTCCTTGACCATAGCTAACTTGAGAAACACTTAGCATGCTTTTTAAAGTCATCTTCAAAAGACATTTCAAACAACCAACAATTTTTATTATGAAACTATACTCCTAGAAGTAATTTCCAAATCAGTGCGAAATTCTTTTTTTTTTTTTTTAAAACAGATTCTATCAGGGGCTTCCACATGCATGGAAAACTACCATTAATTTATATTTCAGGTTGTGTCTTCTTGAACAGCAGAGTATCTCATAGCGACTTTGTAAACTGCAAATATAACTATATCTTCCAAGGTATGATTTTGGAAAGGAGGAGGAAGTACCTTGCCTTAGATTCAATCTTATGAAGTTGGTCTCATCTTTGAGATCAGCTCTAACAAACCATAGTGAGCAAGAGGACAAGATCTGTGCATATCTAACTAAACTCCTTATTTTACATACAATGAACAGAAGAGAAAAAAAAAAGTTTTAAAAACAGTTCAGTGTCACAGAGTCAAACCTGGTATCCGGACCTTTCAAAGCTCTCCTTCTAGTATAATTTCCACTGGAACAAATCGCTTCCCTCTTGTGGTTCTAGATAAGTAGTTACTACTATGAACAAAATCAAAGAGCAGAAGAAACTGTCCTTATTCTGTTTTTCTTTGAAATGTTAATAGTAAATAATTTTAAGTGAATGTTGCAAATAATATTTTAACGAGAACTTCTAAGAAAAATAGTAGAAAATGTTTAAAATTTAAAAATTAAGCATTTGTGGGAACAGACATGCTTTCTTTCTAAGATCAACATATCTGTGAAGCCTAGAAGGAGACGTAGAAGACGGGTCAATTAAGAACAAGGTGATCTGGGTAATGAGTCTGACTGACTGTATTGTTATAGGTTAAGACCAAATTAACTGGTCTGTTTGTGCAACCATTTCTCTATTATACTTCTCAACAATATGCATAATGATTAATATGGTTAAAATGACATACCTTCACAGAGAATACAAATCTGAAATATAAATTAGCTTCTTCTATACATGTGAGCTTGTCAGAACTTTTATAAAAAGTTCACAGCACTCTCATCCGCATTGTCTTGTGTGTGTATGCTCGGTTGTGTCCAACTCTTTGCGGCCTCATGGACTGAAGCCCGCCAGGCTCCTCTGTCCATGAGATTTCCCAAGCAAGAATACTGGAGTGGGTTGCCATTTCCTCCTCGAGGGGATCTTCCCAACCCAGGAATCAAACCTGGGTCCCGCGTCTCCTGCATTGGCAGGCAGATTCTTTACCATTAGCACCACCTGTCAAATATGAGCAGTATCTGAATTGCCTCATGTGGTGCCCCTGGGTTTTATCTCCATGAAGCTTTTTTCATTTGGAAAATCAAATATGTTGAGCTGCTTGTAATTTCAGATACATATAAGAAACAGTCCTTACTTTGTAGTAACATGAACTAAACTAACTTTAAACAGAAGCCACAATATAATATGCTAATGAAGTACACATATTTTAAATCCACTTCTAAATACATTCCAAGCCCACCTCCATCTGCTGTTATTAAACTGGCACTCAGGAAAAGGAAACCAATTTTAATATAATCTGTGATCTGGAATAACAGAGCCAACAGCTATTACATCTGTACTAATTAAGATATTTTATGTTGAAACTGGGCTTCCAAGGTGACGCAACTGGTAAAGAATCTGCCTGCCAAAACAGGAGACACAAGAGATGCAGAAATTAAATAAAGAACGGTGGCCAAACTAATAATCCAGTTGATTTTATAACCTTTAGTTCATCTCAAAATTAACATAGTAGAGAGAGAATCCAGAACCTATAGTCTACCTTTTCATTTTTCAAACTGCAAGTATCAACCCATTTAGTGGGTTATGAAATCACCATAGAAGATAATTTTTAAAAGTACTTTTTAATAACCAGAATGGACAGCTTGGAATGGAAAAGAAAGCAAAACAAAATAACAGAACAGTAAACAGTATACTGCTGCTGGTATATGTAAGTATTACTTCATGAAATTTCAGTTTTCTACATATATATGTATATTGGGTGGCACTGCAAAATCTATGTCTTCCTTTGAACATAAGACACAGTTTTGCTGTGTTTTACTCAATATAAACAGTACTAAGCAGAGGAACAGACCACTGGAGTCTTCAGTATTTTAGTTGTTTTATAGCTTACCTGTTTAAAACTAAAGAGTCCTCATGTCTGTAACTACTTATTTTTGCCATTTCAAATGCTCCTTAAGTCCATTTTGCAGATATTCAGAGAAGGAAAATCATAATCTCTGAAGGTAATAGTTATAATTTATAATAGCTCTAACAATTACAGTATCATGAGGATGATACAGCGTAAAGCCCACAGTTCAGAATACAACCTCTTAATAAAAATAAAGAAGTAGGGCATTTTTCTAAATTCCCTTAGCTTCCTTTTATCAATAACTATTAAGCTTTCCTTTGAACTGGATTATCTAAAGTTTTTCTTTTGTTAGACATCACAGATGGGGTAAAGTTTAAAATAATCTGATGTGAGCTGGACAAATAAAGGGGGGAAATAATCCTGTATTTACTGTTACAGTACAGTTTAATTTACACTTGTAAGTAGTATGCTTGTGTTTTTCTATTTCAGTGAGTCCTGCTGATTTATGGTCAACCTGCTAGACATTTGTTGGCATATCTTCTATGCCTTTCATTAGCAGGTTTATTTGTATGACCAGAGTATAAAATCCCTTTTTTCCTCACTGAACTTCATTTTATTTATAACTTTTAAATCATAATCTAAGTTCTAAAATACAATTTACTATTATCTTTTTATTTTCCTTAGGTCGGGAAGATCCCCTGGAGAAGGGAATGACCACTTCAGTATTCTTGACTGGAGAATTCCATGACAGAGAAACCTGGTGGGCTACAGTCCATGGGGTCACAAAGAGTGGGACATGACTGAGTAACTAACACTTTTATTTAACGCATATGAAAACACAATGAGCAAAGTATTCAAGTAACATCAAGTTTACAATAAAAACATTAAAGATCAATCACAATAGAAGCAAAATGTAGAAAGCTTTGGCCATGTGCCCTGCATCTTTCTCCAGATTATTTAGAGTNCCAGGGACAGAGGAGCCTGGCGGGCTACAGTCCATGGGGTCGCAGAGAGTCAGACACGACCGGAGTGACTAAGCACTCTGAATAATCTTTAGCAAATTACTAAAACTTTCTAAAAAAATAATTTACCCCTCCAATTTTCTGTGAGAATTAAGCAAAGAAATAGAAAGCATTTAGTGATGGGCTAGAAGCACTTGATGATATTATTATAAAATACTGCTTTCAAGGGACACATTTTTAAATACTTAATTTTGACAAACTTACTAAGGCAGAAAATCTTGGTAAGATTAAATCAATAAAGATTTGTAGAGACAAGTTCTTTGCCACACACAATTGGAAGGACTTTACATTATTAATAAGTTATTTGAATCCTGTCAACAATCTTATGAGACAGCTACCATTTTATACCAATTTTTGAGACAGTGAAAGCAAGCCCAGACACCTGCTCAAAGCACAGAACAGGAAACATAGGAGCAAATTCTGTCCCTTGACAGTCTGACTCCACAGACCTCACCTGTAACCGTCTCAGTTGAACACTATTAGTAAAATCTTGGTGGATAACATCAAGGAAAAATGAGCTTCTCTAGCTCCCTGTTTACTGAATCAATGAAGCACACATCTTTAAAAGCAAGTTTCTAACCACAATTCAAAATCTTAATCGTATTTTTTCATGAAAAGAATCAAGAGCTCACAAAATTTGAAGATTAGAAAAAGGAATAAAGAAAAAAAAAATTGTTCAGAAACCTACTATCTTAACACGATCACTATGAATTTTGGTGACAGATCACCTAAGCACTTACACAATTGTAAACTAACATTACATATATTCCCCCCCTAATTTTTCACTTTGCATTTTTACATAGGAAAGATTCCCTATTATAGAGGTTTCAGAAATATTTTCATAATATGCAATTCGATACTATGTGGGCTTGCCTGGTGGCCCTAGTGATAAAGAGCCCTCCCGCCAATGCGGCAGGCCATGGGTAAGAATCTCGGGTTCCATCCCTGGGTGGGGAAGATCCCTTGAAGAAGGGCATGGGAATCCATTCCAGTATTCTTGCCTGGAGAATCCCATGGACAGAGCGGCCTGGAGGGCTACAGTCCACACGGCTGCAGAGTTGCACACAACTGAAGTGACTTAGAAATGTGCCCCATTACATAGTTTCCAGAAATATATTCATAATATGTAATTCAATACTATGTAGCCTAAAGGCACTGGTATAGCTTATTCAGCCACAGTCTAACAGACATTTGGGCTTTCTGGCAGTATTTTTACTACTTAAAAACACTGTGACACACGTTTACAAATAAAACCTCTTCCCACAAGTAAGACTATGTCCTTACATTAGGAATTCCATGAGTGACTCTACGCCATGTATGAACATTGCTTAAGATCCCAATAAACCCCACTCTAAAAGGACTACCACAACAATACACTGTCAGAAGCCACAAAAATATAACCTTAAAATCACAGAGTATTATTTTTGAGTGATGTTCCCAATCTGATAAGTTACAATCATATTTTAATGTGCATCCTTTGATACTTATGAAATTGAATAATTTTCCATTTATTTATTTACTAACTGAGCTTTATCTTTTACATTCTTTGCCAGGCACCAATCATTTTTTCTTATTTGGGACAAATATTTGCCTTAAGTCCTTTAATAATAAAATTTGGAATAAACATTACAGACTTCTCCAATAAATTACAGAGAAATACAGGACACAATTTACACTTTTTAAAAAACTGGCTCAAGACAATCACTTCCTATACCAAGTACTGAGTCAATCTTTATTTGATATACATTTTTCTATTAAAAATTTTTTTCAAGTAAATAAGGTTTTAATCAATACTTTAAAATACTTAAGATCTGAAGTATTTTTAATATGCAACTTAATAGTATTAGCTAATGAGTAAATAATAACATGGTGATTTCCAGTATCTCTAAAATCTCCAATAATTACAAAGCTAGACTTAGAATTCGGTGAGGTAAAATAAGGATTATGATCATTTCAATGAGGAGAACTGAATGCCCCATTTAGGAAAGACGTATGACTGAAAGAAGGAAAACTCACTGCACTACTGTTTTGAACCTTGATTTAAGTTAAGGTTAACTTAACCTTATCATTTAACTTAACCTTAGGGTCATAGTTAAGGATTACAATCATCTTGAGAGTTGTTACTGTTGTTGTTTCGTCACTCAATTATGTCCATCTCTTTTGCAAACCCACAGACTGTAGCCCACCAGGCTCCTCTGTCCATGGGATTTCCCAGGCAAGAACACTGAAATGGGTTGCCATTTACTTCTCCAAGGGATCTTCCTGACCCAGGGATCGAATTCACATCTCCTGCATTGGCAGGCGGATCCTTTACTATGGAGCCAAACAAATATTAATTAACTACCCAAACTCAAAAACACAGCAATACTTAAGGTAAAATAATTAAGAAAAAAATACTATCACTAAATTTACTGTTCATTGCTTCTAAACACATATTTATTTAATAAAGTACTTACTTTCACTGTCATCTTTAATATCTATGGTAGCAAATGGCAAATCTACCAGAGAATCCATGGTGTTGGCTTCAAATTCTTCTGACATTTCTTGTTTGCTTGATACACTTTCACACTCATTGGAATTCACCCCTATAACATCACAAAAAGAAAACTGTATTATTTTATTTATTTTTTAATTCATATCCTACGCTAAAACAACTCAACTAACTAAACTCAATATAAATTAACATCTGTTAAGAAATGGTAAAACTGGCATTCAAATATACTGTAAGCTACTTATACAGCTATACCATAGTCTACATTTCTATAAATCCATTTTTATGTTAAACAGCTTTAATAATTTCCTGAAGCACAGTACTCAACTCAGGGTTAAAGTTGAGTTAATCAACAAACCTCAAGAGCCTTTATAAGACACATTTTCTTAACTCCAAAACTACATTTTTAACATAACTTTTGAACACAAGTCAACAAGATTTTGGCAATCTCTTCCATGTTTATTTGTTAACAACATCAATTATGTGTTCTCACCTGTATAAACTCTGACTTTTATTTTTCCTTCAGAAAAGATTTAAAAATTTTTTTCATTCCATTATTATATTAACGTGGGAAATTCAAACATTAAAATTCACACACTAAAATTACATAGCTCTAAATATGCTTTTCTAGAAATTCAATGGTTAAAAGCAAAAAGATCCTATAGTTTCGCTGACAGCCCTTCCAAGGACAGGTACTAACATTAGAACGACATTTCACACTTGGTCCTTGTTTTTTGTTTTCTTATTATGGGTAGAACAATTATATGCCTCAGGAGGAGGTTAAGGGGAAAAGGGTGTCTGTTTAAACTGATAAAGTCAACTGCTAAATTTATCAGCTGGCAGTCTCCCCACACCATTATCCTCCATGCTTTTAGACACAATGTTTGAACCAGAGCTGAAAAAAATCCTGGGATACTTACATAATTTTTATTCTATATATTGACTAATGATTAATTTACCATTGAAGATATTAAAGAAGTCATTTATTTTATTCTGTTATAATCCTCTATTTTCATATATCAGACCTTTAAAAACACACTCCATTAAGAATATGGCTTACAATATGCAAGATAATAAGTATTCATGATAAGTTATAGTTAACAAAAGCCAAAAAAACTAAATTTTTATTGTAATTTCAGTAATCTTTAATATTATTTAGAGACACACACCTGTTTTGTAGATAAAAGCAAAAAATGACAGCTAAAACCTTTTTATTGCTGATTTTTTTATATCAACTAGTCATGTTCAACACCAAAACCAAAAAAATTAACAGTACACTCTTAATAATGCTATTTATTTACATTACAGTTCAAACCTTATTAAGCTTGAGTGCCTGGCATGCAGGTGTTCAGCAAGTGTTATTTACCATGAATCTATTCACAGCTATTGAAATATGTGAGAACAAGTAAATGTTTCCTTTCTATTTTTTACACTTGTGTTGAAAAATACACAGCTTATATTTAAACAAAAGTTTTAATAAATCAATACATATCTTATATTTGGGGCAAATGCACCTACATAGAAAAGATCATCACTGATCACTTAGCTTACACAACACTGTAAATAAAATGTTTAAAAGATCTTTAAATTTTTTAAAAAATAAATAAAATTCTTGAATGCAATGGTATGTCAAAATCAACAAGTCTAGAACTTGATACACAAAATTTTTTCTATTAAATTACCAAATAGCTGAAAACCTTTTTGTAGATATGAATTATTAACAGGCTTTCCTGGTGGCTCAGACTTGGTAAAGAATCTGCCCACAATGTGGGAGACCTGGGTTCAATCCCTAGGTGGGGAAGATTCCCTCAAGAAGGAAATGGCAACCCACTCCAGTATTCTTGCTTGCGAAATCCCATACACAGAGGGGCCTGGTGGCCTATAGTCCATGGTGTCACATCAATTATTAACTCAGAGATAAGATAATACCATTTCCAAGTAACTCTTGGAACTCCATGTTCTATGGTCATCCTATAGAACAATGTTTCTCAACAGGGCTCAAGTCTGAAAGACTTCCTCCAGTTCTCTAAGCTCCAGTGTTTCGGCAAAGGCTGGCAGACATGAATTAAAACACATCCACATCCAGCCCCATCACTTCATAGCAAATAGAAGGGGAAAAATAGAAACAGTGACAGACTTTATTTTCTTGGGCTCCAAAATCCCTGCAGAAGGTGACTGCAGCCACGAAATTAGAAGACAATTGCTGCTTGGAAGGAAAGCTATGACAAACCTAGAGAGACAACACTTTGTCAACAAAAGTCCCCATAGTCAAAGCTATGATTTTTCCAGTAATCACGTACGGATGTGAGAGTTGGACTACAAAGAAGGCTGAGTGCCAAAGAATTGATGCTTTTGAACAGTGGTGCTGAAGAAGACTCTTGAGAGTCCCTTGGACTGCAAGGAGATCCAACCAGTCCATGCTAAAGGAAATCAACCCTGAAGATTCATTGGAAGGACTGATGCTGAAGCTGAAGCTCCAATACTTTGACCACCTGATGCGAAGAGCCAACTCACTGGAAAAGACCCTGATGCTGAAAAAGATTGAGGGCAGGAAGAGAAGGGAGTGACAGAGGATGAGATGTTTGGATGGCATCACTGACTCAATGGACATGAGTTGGAGCAAACACCAAGAGATGGTTGAAAGACAGGGAGGGAAGCCTGGCATGCTGCAGTCCATGGGGTCGCAAAGAGTCAGACACACCCGAGCAAGCCACTGAACAACAATCATAACTACTTTCTTTTACAGAAGTACAAATTGTTTGTTTTGGGGAAACTGCCTTAAAATAACCAACCTTTGGACTTGCCTGGTGGTACAGTTTTGGGTAAGAATCTGCCTGCCAATGCAGGGGGTATGGGTTCGAACCCTGGTTCAGGAAGATTCCACACACCTTGGGGCAACTAAACTCAACTCATGTGCCACAAGCAACAATGCCCATGGGCCAGGACCACTGAGCTGGAGCTCTAGAACCTGCTAGCAGCAACTACCGAGCCTGTGCGCTCTAGGACCTGTGAGCCGCAGCTACCGAGCCTGTGCGCACTAGGACCTGTGAGCCAGAACTGAGCCTGTGCGCCCTAGGACCTGTGAGCCAGAACTACCGAGCCTGTGCACCCTAGGACCTGTGAGCCCAACTACCGAGCCTGTGCACCCTAGGACCTGTGAGCCGCAGCTACCGAGCCTGTGCGCCCTAGGACCTGTGAGCCACAGCTACCGAGCCTGTGCGCCCTAGGACCTGTGAGCCAGAACTACCGAGTCTGTGCGCCCTAGGACCTGTGAGCCCAACTACCGAGCCTATGCACTCTAGGACCCGTGAGCCACAGCTACCAAGCCTGTGCGCTCTAGGACCCGTGAACCAGGAGCCAGAACTACCGAGTCTGTGCGCTCTAGGACCTGTGAGCCAGAACTACCGAGCCTGTGCACCTTAACCACTGAAGCCCGGGTGCCTACAGCCTGTGCTAAACAAAAAGAGAAGCTACCGCAATGAGAAGCCTGTGCACCACAACCAAGAATTGCCTCGGCTCTCTGCAACTAGAAGAAGCCTGCGTGCCACAACAGGGACCCAGCATAGCCAGAAATAAAGAAATAAAATAATAACCAACCTTAAAATAAAGGACTTTATCAGGGTAATATTAAACTTTTTTCACAGACTAGCCAATTAAGCAACTTGCCTCAGGTTACAGGTCTTGGGGCTAGGCTTTGAATCCAGTTACTCAACCACCAAAACCTGCCAGCAACAGTACTTCTGGAAAGTTCACATACACAGTTTATATTATAAGATACACAGTTTATATAATATAATACGCCCAGATATCTGTCTGGTATCTGTTCTGGTTAAGAAGAGCATTTTCATTTTAAATAGCAGATATACGAATGCATATGCACTTGTACTGTGTGTACAATTATATATGAAAAGGCTGACATAGTTGTTGTACTCAATACATTTCTGTTATTCCAATGTTTCAAACAGAATCATCACTTTTATAAGAAAACAATTAACACATATGTTTAAAATACATTATAAAATTGTACATAAAGTATACACTAATATTCAAATATATGTGTACTTCCACAAATGACTTCATCAAAGACAGATCAATAGAAGAAAAAAAGAATAGTCTGCCCTTCCTCACACAAACTTCAAGTTTCCTTTCTGGATAACAAAGCACAACTTTATTAAGCAAAATTCTCTTCTACTCACTCTACTAGGTAGGTATATTCCCCAAGAAGGTATATCCAATATTCCTGCCTGGGAAATCCCATGGACAGAGGAGCCTGTTGGGCTACAGTCCATGAGGTCACAAAACAGTCGACAGGACTTAGCAACTAAACAATAGATATATAGTAGGTACAGTCCCCAAGAATCAGTAGAGTCAGTTCATCCAAGCCAGGTCTGGCCTAGCTACTAAAAATAGAAACATCTTACAGCTGGAGAAATGTTGACAGCTGTCAACAAGTTACCTGACCTCCATGCTTTGGTTTCCACATGATGAAAAAAGGAACAAAAGTACAACCCAAATTACTAGCCAGAAATGGACAAAGTAAGCTAATAATATCTGAAACGCAATGTAAAAAGGCATTAAACTCCACAAACATCTTAAAAGTATGCTATCAGCATCCTCAATTGCAAGGCCACACACTGAAGGAACTGGGGTGGGAAACCTTTCTCTTTGACACTAACAATCCCCTACACGTTTCCCTTTATAAGTGCGTCTCAAAAATTCCCACCCTCGGCACTGACCTTCCAAGGTCTTCATTTCATTCCTTCAACAACTGTAAACATATTTACATTAGCTAACGGTTATTACATAACATTTTAAGATTTTCATGCTTTGTATATCTTTCTATGCAGTGGCTCAGACAGTAAAGCGTCTGCCTACAATGCGGGAGGCCTGGGTTCAAACCCTGGGTCGGGAAGATCTAGAAAAGTAAATGGCAACCCTCTCCAGTATTCTTGCCTGGAGAATCCCATGGACAGAGGAGCCTGGCGGGCTACAGTCCATGGGGTCACAAAGACTCGGACACGACTGAGCGACTTCACTTTCACTTTCATGCGTTTATACTTCAAAAATCTCACATGAAAAAAACCTGGAAGTCTCTCACCGGTGTCCCGCCCTTTGTGACCCCGTGGACTGTAGCGCACCAGGCTCCTCCGTCCATGGGACTCTCCAGGCAAGAGTACTGGAGTGGGTTGACATTTCCTTCACAGAAGGCCACCTTTTCTCTAATTGGCTTGTTGGTGCCTTTCATCAAAAGTCCAACCCCTAACTCGCTCTACCCACCAACTTCAGTTCGCAGTAAATGCTGACATAAACTGGAAACTCATTCTGAGCCCTACTGCAGATCTGGCGCCAGTTTAGAGAGGTCACTTCCACACCGAGAATAAAATCCTACGAGGAAAGCCTAACTGCGGTGGTTCAAGCCTTTGTTTGTGATAAAATATAAAAACGGAGTTTTTCTAGATTTCGCTGATCACACCAACACCAAAGGAGGGTAAGTGTCGGAGGGTATGTGTTGGCATGAAGTTTCTAAAAGGTTAGAAGATCATCGGGAAAGAAAAGTGAAATTTAAAATGGGTTCACACTTCCGGCCTCCCGTCGCAACAACAGTGCGTGCAGTAACGAAAACACTCGCTGACAAGCAGCGCTGATCATACCCGGTTGTACCGGGTCCCTTGCGGCTACACCGAATTCCGCGCAGGGCGGGGAGAGGAGCCCCAGGGCAGGGCGAGCGTGGGATCGCGCTCCAAGCGCCGGGGGCGCAGGCGGGGCGGCGAGGCCAGGCCCTCCCCGCGGCCGCGCCGAGCCCACGCCCCCAGACTCCAGTCGCCCCACACCGCCCGCTCGGCCACCCGAGCTCACCGGCTCCGGGGAGCTCCATGCAGGCGGCGGTGGCGGGCGACGGGTCTCTGCAGGCGACGACAGCCGGGCGCAGGCCTGCGGAGGCGCCGAGCCCCGAGAGCCGCAGTCCTCGAAGCAGCTGCATGCCCAGGCCGGGCGCCCAGAACGAGCGGAAAGGGCCGAGCCGATGCGCCCGCAGTACCCGGATTCCGGCGAGCGACGCAGGCCAATTGCGGAGAGGGCGGGGAGCTCCTCTCTGCGCGGCGACGCTCCGCCCCCGACCCCGCCTCCACCCTTGACCCCGCCTCTGCTCCCGGGAAGGGCCCTCTGCGGTCTTTGGCCGGGCTCGTTCATCTCCAGCGGTGCTGCCTTTCCCATCCCAGGCTTCGAGGGGTGAGATTGGTCGCTGGCTGATTGGAGTCTCCTGAGGATCCATGTTTTTAGTTTTGCAGAGTTTTCAAAACATAGAATTCTGATTACAGAATACAGAATATTTGAGAAGAGCGAGATATATACAGGAACGAGACCTTGTCTGTATAATTAAATAATTTGCTTTACAGGAAAAAAAATAAAAAGCCAAATTGTGGCAGTCTCATAGTTTTAACAGTGGTTTCATGCCTGGAAATTAAATGGGAAGCAGCTACTTGTGTTTGCAGATTGAAGCAATAATATGAGTAAAATGGAAGGAAAAGTACTTGTTAGTTTTTTTTTAAGACTTTTAGATTTAGATCAGAATTTTACTGGAGTTTTCTTCTAAGTGCAAAGAAACCTTGCTGTAAGAAAATTTGTGTCTCTCAACAAATTAACGTAGCCTATTTTACGAGAGACAACGCTTATCTTGAAGGCACGCTAAAATGGAGGTGAAACAAGGACCTCAGTCAAAATAGTTGACATTAAAACCGTACACAAAAAGTCATAAACCTCATTACCCTGGTTGCAAAATAATTCTAGCAAATTGGATATTTGGTTTCCATGCCCATAGTAATTATGAACTGATTCTGCTAAAGTCTGCTCTGTTCTGAGGGTGTGCAGGTGAATAAGATAAGTCTTTTTCTCAAGGAGTTGGTCATTGAATAGCAGAGAATTAAACATGCTGCTGCTAAGTTGCTTCAGTCGTGTCCAACTCTGTGCGACCCCATAGATGGCAGCCCACCAGGCTCCCCTGTCGCTGGGATTTTCCAGGCAAGAACACTGAAGTGGGTTGCCATTTCCTTCTCCAATGCATGAAAGTGAAAAATGAAAGTGAAGTCGCTCAGTCGTGTCCGACTCTTAGCGACCCCATGGGCTGGAGCCTACCAGGCTCCTCCGTCCATGGGATTTTCCAGGCAAGAGTACTGGAGTGGGGTACCATTGCCTTTTCCCGAATTAAACATGAGTAATTGCAATAAGCACCAAACTAAAAGCTGCAAAAAAAGAAATCCACAGTCAACAGTTGAAGGGGCTTAAAATATGCCACTTTAGCATTAAGATTATTTTTGGAGGCAACCAAGAAACATATTGAACTGTCTGCCCTTCCCTTTCTACTTAATACCAGAGCATCAATTTTACTTTGTGAAACTGACATAAATTTCTACTTGTAGAGGCAGTCCTAAGCACTAGATCTCTAGTCAATTCCCCTTGAAGGCACAGACTGTTTTAGTGTTTGATTTCCCAAGGATACAGAGTTTATTTAATGAATAGTTGTTAAATGAATGAATAAAAGTTTTATAACCATCAGACCTGTGCTCCTATTTGTTTAAAAAAAAAAAAAAAAGCAACACACCCAAGTGAATTTCAAGAAAAAAACAGTATTATGGGTAATCTTAATGTCATAAACCTTCACCAGCCTGAGGCTAAAAATTAGTTGCTATTAACATTCATATCTAAATCTGGGTAGTTGAATTAACATATTTGCTTAAGCCAGAACTCCAGCCCTTAGTGAAATCCCTCCAGAATACATCTAGTGTTTTACAATGTGCCTAACACCACTAAGGAATCTTCCAGGCTACCATCCATGCCCAAGCCTCATCTCACTGATCCAGTCTTCGTTCCAGAAGTCCTCTGTCCTCACATCAGCTGATTGGTGGTTCACTTAGTCATGGTGGATCCTCTCCGTCCTCAAGGTGACAATCTCTTGCAAATGAACAGACCAATTCATCCTCCATGTGCTATGCTGCATAGTAGATAGGGCACAGTGACTGATGTCAGAAAGATGATTTGGACCCCTGAGAGTTACAGATTCATTGAGATAGCATGTTCCTTTTGTTAAAAGCAAAACAAGCCCAGAATGGAGTTACTTATATTAAGCCCTATGTTATCAGATTTAGAGTTTATACTCTCCCAGAAATGAAATATTAAACCAGTCAATTAGGAACTGTCTGATCAGCTAGGTAATCTGCCTGATAAATCCCTGCCATCCCCTTAAGGAAAGTAACCTTGCAATTTGTGATTGTTGTTTAGTCGCTAAGTCATGTCCAACTCTTTTGTGACACCATGAACTGTATCTTGCCAGGCTCCTTGGTCCATGGGATTTCCCAGGTAAGAACACTGGAGTGGGTTGCCATTTCCTTCTCCAGAGGATCTTCCCCACCCAGGGATCAAACTCACATCTCCTGCATTGGCAGGCAGATTCTTTATCCCTAAGCCATCAGGGAAGACCAAACTTGCAATAACCAACTCAGTTTTTTGTGTAGTATAACTTTCTTGTTCCCACTCCTTCTACATGTAAAAATCTTTCATTTTGTACCATTCCTTGGAGCTCCTTTCTAACTGCTAGGTTAGTTGTTGCTAGATTTGAATCAATTTTTGCTCAAAAAACTCAAAATTTGTAATATGCCTCAGTTTATCTTTAAACAGTTCACATACACCTCTTTTTCTCCCCCAGATAACAGTGTACACTGTCAAGATAACTAGATTGAAGGGTTCCAGTTCAAGTTGCCATACTTTTCCTGTACCTGCACCCACCTCTGACCTCTGACCTTCAAGACCTGCTGTTAAATTGGTTTATTTGTTCTTCAAGTCTTCTTCTGTGTGCTGAGTTCTTTCTTTAGTTCCTTCATTCTCTTTTGTGATGCTGAAACAGGACAGAAGAGGGTAGGCACAACCTTTAAAAGAATGGCATAGCCCAAGGACATGTAGACTGATTAAAACCAAGTAGGTCCAAGATGGTGGACAAGTTGACTTCCACTAGACCTTGGGCCACCGGTCTCCTTGCTTGGCCCTTCAATAAACCTTTCCCTGCTCCTAACTCTGATGTTTTGGTTTGTTTGGCCTCACTCTGCATCAGACACATGAACCTTCATTTGGTAACAGGAGAATAAAATCATACAGTTCCATAGAAAAGTGAACGTGAAGTCGCTCAGTCATGTCCAACTCTTTGTGACCCTATGGACTGTAGCCCACCAGGCTCCTCCGTCCATGTGATTTTCCAGGCAAGAATACTGAAATGGCTTGCCATTTCCTTCTCCAGGGGATCTTCCCGACTCAGGGATGGAACCCAGGTCTCCCACATTGCAGGCAGATTCTTTACCACCTGCGCCACCCAATAGAAAATCAACTGAGACTTTTGGTGACCCACAGTGACTCTGGATGACATTTCATTTTGTTGGAAGAGGGACATATGCTTAACAATAAAACGTGTATGCTTTTCAACTAATGCTTGAGTATAGAATTTGAGAAATCACTGTTCAGGACATTAAAAAATAATAAAGGGGCAGGGGTGGGAGATAGGAGGGAGGTTCAAGAGAGAGGGCGTATATTTAAAGCTATGGCTGATACATGTTGGTGTATGCCAGAAACGAACACAGTATTGTAGAGTGATTATCCTTCAGTTAAAAATAAATAGCTTTTTTAAAAAAATAATAATAAAGGGGCAAAGGGAGGTCATGTTTATTACATTAAAAAAAAAATCACTACCCCTATTTCATAAGGGCTTCCTAGCTGGTGCTAGTGGTAAAGAACAAGCCCGCAAATGCAGGAGACATAAGAGACAGGGGTTCGATCCTTGGGTTGGGAAGATCCTCTGGAAAAGGAAATGGTAACCAACTCCAGGATTCTTGCTTGGAGAATCCCATGGACAGAAGAGCCTGGCAGATTACAGTCCATAGGGTTGCAAAGAGTCAGACACAACTGAAGTGACTTAGCATCCCTATTTCATAATAGTTTTATTTCAGTAGCCAAATACAGTTAAAGGGTCTGATAATATTAAGAATCAGGATGAACATTTTAAATTATTTTAAATATTTCTGACTTCAAATTTCTAATTTGTGTAAATAAATTTTACTGTTTTATGCAATTTTTCAATTCAGAAAATCTCATAGAATAACTAAAATTGTCTGTAATACATCAACCAGAATTTTATCTCTCTAAATACATATATGCATACACATACCACTATAGTATATATTTATAAAAATAGAATTATATTGTATATTGCTTTGTAACCTGCTTTGTTTCTTGCAACATATTGTGACAAATATGTGTATATATATATATATATATATATATACATATATATATATATATAATTTTATTATTTCCTTAAAATAAATTCCCAGAAAGAGACTTGATAGGTAAAAGATTATAAATCATTGTAAAGCTTTTGAAATATATATTGCCAAATTATCCACCAATTTTCATGCTTACAAGCAGTTTATGAAAGTCTAATTCTAGTTCTTTCCTCATTTTTCATTTAAAAGGTATAAAGGCTTGTTATTTTATTCATTGTAAATGAATTTGAATATTGTTTTATGTATTTAATAACCATTAGCATGTCTTTTATAAAAAAGAATTTTGCTTATTTTTCTTCCAGGTTGTTTATCTTTTTTGACTATATCATAAAAACCTGTGTATTTATTAATGATTTTTTGCTTTGTTTTGTTTTTTTGGCCATGCTGTGTGGCTTTCATGATCCTAACTCCCTGACCAGGGATTGAACCTGGGCCCCAGCAGTGAATGCCAAGTCCTAACCACTGGACCATCACAGAATTCCCTATTTATTAAAGATTCTTTTAATGATTTTAAAGCCTTTGTCATATATGTTGAAAACATTTTCTCTAATTTGTTATTTGCATTTTAATTTCTGTGCAATAATTTTTTAAGATGGAGA